TGCATCAGCAGGGCAGAGAGGAGGAGGAGGAGGAGGAGGAGGAGGAGGAGAGAGGGAGGAAATTTCAGCCTGTTGAGGTACACCCTGTGTGTTATGTAAAGGTGACATGGAGAAACATGCGGTCAGCAGTAACTGACAGCTCTGCTGTTTGGATAAAGACGAGGAGTCGGCTATTTGAGAGCGGTGACTTCACACCCAATCCTCTTTACTGTCTCTTACCCAAACACCGCAGGTAGATAAATATCGCCTCTGGGTAAAATAGAGGAAGATTTGAGATTACGTCACTATTTCTCAAACTTTATCCTGTTCTCTTTTTGTTACCTATCTGCTGTGTGTGGAAAAAACATCCTTTATTGTACATGTTCAATATTTGATGTGGGCTTGTTGAAGATGAAAAACAAGTGTACAATGTTCTCTTATCCTCCCTCACCTGTTGTCCTGCAGCTCTCTCTCGCTCTCACTGCAGATACAATAATAACAGGTGCTAGATCAAGCAGTTAGTGCGTGTGTTGGTGTGAGTGTGTGTTTCGTGCGGCTTACACCAATCTATCTTTGCTGACAGGCTTTGTCCTTCAGCGGTCTCAGATTCTAACGGCGCTACCTGTCACATTACTTTGCAGACGTTGCCTCAGTTTATGTGTGTGTGTGTGTGTGTGTGTGTGTGTGCGTGTGTGTGTGTTTGCATACCTGTACTGATAACTAATTATGGCAACACAGTGAAGAGCTCTGTGTACATCACATATATGCACACTCACTTGTAAAGCCTCTAAAGGGAACAAAGGGAGTGGGTCAGTGAAGGGAACATTACCTCTGTAACTGAACACCCCCTCCCCTCCTCCCCCCCTCCTCTTCTTCTTCTTCCTCGTGCCCCCTCCTCTTCTCCCTTCTGATTCCCCTCAGGATGTCCGCTCATAGAGACCGCATAAATTAGTGATCGAGCGTGCTCACTTGTCACACATCACTCACCCAACGGGTGTATCAACATCAGGGTGTGTGTGGGGACGAGAAGAAAAACGACATGCTATTGTGGAACATGATCGTTGTAGCTTTCCCACATCTCAGCTCATGCCAAAACATCCATTTAGTTTCAGGAAGCACCCACTCTGTGTGTGTGTGTGTGTGTGTGTGTGTGTGTGTGTGTGTGTGTGTAATGTGGGTGGGTGTGTATGAGAAGGACGGCATTATCGTTGGAGTTCATCATGGAGTTTGATGACATGCGGGTTCATAGCGGCTGGCTAACACTTACGGAAAGTTCAGTGTTTGAAAAAAGGAGTGGGAGGAAAGGCCAAACAAGTGCTTTGTTTTCATTCTCAAGTTGATTATATAAGCTTTGAAAACAAAGAGAAGTTTACAGTCAATTCTCTGAAATTGCAGTGAGAACTTGAGCGTAACTCTGATGTACGAGCTTTTTGATCTCTGTTTTGTCAATTCATTGTTTTATACAATAAGAATAGCTTCAGTGAAAACAGTGTTGACTTCATGTTTGAGAGCAAAAACCTTTCCTCAAAGTTATATTCCTTTTATCCTTACAGCTATACTTAAGAATAAATTCTTATTAATGTGTATATACTTCGTGCTAAGTGTAATGTGAAAGGTGTCACAGTTGTTGACTTCATCCAAATCTGTTCTGTGGAGAGGTTTGAAGCAGTAACACACGAGGATGCACCTTTTTTTTCTTTCTCCTAGTTTCCCTTCCTTGCTCCTTACATAGAGGGACTTTCACCGGTCTAAACAGTGAAAGTCATTTTACTTCTTTTTTTTTTTTTTTTCGATTCTAGCATCTAAGTAAACTCAGTAAAACTTTCCCCCTTCCCCTCCTAGCTCATCATCTTCATCAGTTTAGAGTGCAGCTCCGCACACAGAGGCAAAGGTGCAGACGTGGGTTTTTTTCTCCACATTAAGACGCAGACTGCACAAAGTGTAGGACGACTTTGTGGCCGCGTTGGCGCCGGCACATCATTAGTGCAAATTCTTTAGTGGATATGGGTGCTAAAACGGGGCAGATTGCGGGTGCTATTTCTGCACAACTCATGGTGCTAATAGCGATAGCGATGCAATCCATTCTTAGTGGATCTGGTCCTTAAAGTATATTAATCCCTAAGATGACCTGATGTTATAGCAACAATGCACATATATCGAAGAGGGAGACTTGAATGCAACATTTAGAAGTTTTCTTCTGATCTTTGTATTCTGTTTTTGTTGTCTGTAGCGGTGCGAGATTCAATTTAAAATCCACACACTTAACCATCGGCTGCCCCCTTGTAGTCATGACTACGACTCTTTCCTATTGTCTGTTTTGAAATAGTAGAATTCTAGTTGATAAGCAGGTCTGTAATTCTCCTGAGCATGCTTAAAAGGAGTTCAGAGATATTCATTCATTCCTGACTCGACCTTCCTTTGCCTCTCTAATAATGCACCATGTATGGTAAACTGAAAAGGGGGCTAAAAATGGTATCACAAAGCCCGGAGGTGAACTCAGCGCTGATGTTCAGCCAGTTACCCCGAGGCGTTGAGCAAGAGACGACCAGATGCACGTACGCAGGGGGAATAACAAAGCTGTAAACAAACATGGAGGCAGGATTTCGAGTGAAATCATGAATCTAATTATTCTTAAAATGCTAATTGTTTTGCCACAGTGTACACCACACTGCGGCATAACTGTGGTTCACAGCTTGCGCAATCATTAACAGCTCTGCATGTGTCAGACATCGTGATGGTGTGAAGTCTAAGAAGAAATGCAGAAATGTCTTACATAACAGCTGATCAAAGAAGCTGGTGTTCAGCCGTAGTGAAAGAGGACTTTCATAAAGGACTGCAACTACCTCAGTGTATCATTGAAATATTCTCTACAAGAAATGCTGCAGGCTTTAAAGGTCCAATCTGTAAGAAATCTACTGAATAGAATCATAAAATGACCTTACTGTATCATCAGACATTAAGGAAACATGCTATGTTGAAGTGCTGGCTTCTCTGAGAACAATGCAGCAGCCAGTATGTCCTCCTTCTAACTTTAGATTCTGCTCCTGAATGCTCTGGATTTGTTTTGTCTAGAGAAGGTGTAGGCGGGTTTACACCTCCGTTTTGGACGCCCCTCAGTTTGCCATGCAGGCAAACAGCTAACCAGCAGCTGTTGCAGTGATGGAAGCAGACGAGTGAACTGGTTCAGATAGAGTGATTGTATCCGACCTAAAAAGCCTCTGCATGTTTCTAATAAGCTCCACGAGCAGAAACGAGCTCAAACAAGGATCAATATTGGAGATAATTTTGAAAAATGGAGAGCGGTTAGAACACAGAAAGGTTTACAGACCCATGCAGAGCTGGATAAACACTGAAGCTTCAGAGTCCACCACATGGTGACCTCTGTGTGCATCGACTCTAGAGAGGAGGGGGGGGGAGACAGCTCTCTACAATGTTTAGAATTTGGACTGCAGTACCCATTTTAAACAATAGGTGTCAGAGTTACATACTGCTCCTTTAAGACTATATAACATGTACATATATATGCAGCAGTATTCTTATATTTGATCTATCCTATAGATGTAGCATAAATTAAGTGGAATGTGGAGTGTTCAATCAAAAAAGAAGACATTTGTCAGTTCCAGCCTCTGAAATTATTTTCACTTAAGTTTTTTTCTGAATATCATATGAAAGAATTTTTTTTTTTTTTTAATCAAAGCAACTAAAAAATGACATAAAAGGATTTCCGAGGCAGTTTGTAGTTTTTCATGTGTTTGTCTTCCTTCGACCTTCGTTTCAAAAGATACTGATACTGATCTGAATCTTTGCGATATGTGGCTCTAATAAAATACTTTACTGTCATCAGTGTAAACTTTATCATGAAGAAACAAACACTGAAACAACAGATAACCTGGTTTCTGCCATCACCAAGCTGTCACTAACGTGCAGAGGCAGATCTCCTCTCGTTTAGGTAACACACACACACACACACACACACACACACACACACACCCTCCCCATCGTGGTGAGAGGTGCTGTGTCAGCTGAACAGGGACAACAAGGATCGTGGGAGTTTTTCTTTCTTATGTTTCACACTGTCTTATCAAGGAACAAATACTTTAAAGCACTGAATGAATTAAAAGGCCAAACATGATCATTTTCTGGGTTTACAGACATTTTGTTTTTCACTCTCCTCTCCTCATAGTGACAGAGTCAGACAATCGTCCATCTTTGTTCTTGGAAAGAAGGATGTTTTTCATGGTCACGTTGCCGCCTTGTGCTGGGTCGACATGGTCGGCTAGGAGATGAAGAATATGTCATAGCTGTGGATTACTCAGAAAACCAGCTCTCCCGGCGGCCTCTTCCTGTCGCCCTCCTGCTGAGCTACTTGATTGAGTTGAGACCCGAGGAGGCACACTTTGTACCCGTGGAGAGAGATAAAAACATAGGGGCGGTTTGGGAATATATCGAATGGGGGTGGTTACAGACATCATGCGGTTAAAAAAGGAGGACAGAAAATAGAGATTTATGAGACAAAAAAATAAGAAGCAAGGGGACTGACAGCAGCAGACAAGATGGCAGGAAAATGACAGGAAGTCGAAAAATCTAATTGTTCTATATATTCAGTCTTGTTGATGTTTCTGTTAATACTATTAAAGGAGAGCTATTATACTCACTTTCAACATTAAGTATGTCAGTCTTGGACAGCTATTGAGTAGCGTTACAAGATGTGTAGCTCAATGACCTCCTTATTTATCTGATACTGGCGTCAGTTTTAACCCGAATTTCAGCCTCTGCCTGAAACGGTTCATTTAAGCTACTGTCTCTTTAAGGCCCCCTTCCTCCCTGCTTGCCCACTGTTCTCCGATTGGCCAGCTCTCTTTGCAGTTGCAGGGAAATGTGAGTGTGCGTCTGGGTGGGCGTGTCCTACAACTTAGCTCCACGGTTTGCTCTAGTACTTCGCCGTCTCATGTATGATTAATCATTAAAAATGCAAATATCTAAATCTAAGTTTGTTTGTTTTCTGTTTTTCTCTCCTACAGGAGAGGTTCGAGGCGTTGTTTAGGATCTACGATGAGCAGACAACTTTCCAAATGTTCAAAAGCTTCCGAAGAGTCCGGATCAACTTCGGCACCCCGGAGGCGGCCGCCCGCGCTCGCATCGAGCTGCACGAGTCCGAGTTCAACGGCACCAAGCTCAAACTCTACTTCGCCCAGGTGAGTGACAGCGGAGGAGGTTATGGGAAGGTCAAGCAAAGGGGGGGCCCTGTGGGACCTGGACTGCCTGAGGAATATGTTCTGACCGAAACACAACAGACACAACTGGGGGCGGCTCTGCCTTCGTGTCACCCCTTATCTTTTTTATTTCTCTTCTTGTGTTGGCCGTCTCTGAGCCGCACCTGAATGCTTCCTCATCCCGACAAACCTTCTGTCAAATCTCATCGGTCACATGATAAAACACTAAACCACATGAATTCTTGATTTTCCTTCCATTACAACTGTATATATGTGTGTGTGTGTGTGTGTGTGTGTGTGTGTGTGTGTGTGTGTGTGTGTGTGTGTGTGTGTGTGTGTGTGTGACTGCCTCCCACAGGCAACAGACAGAGGAAAGGAAAGAAAAACAGAGTGGAGTTTGTTTGCAGTGTAAACACAAAACAAGAAGAGAAAATATCTTCAGTGTGATCATGAAGTCGTTATTGATATAATTACTCACTTGTATGTAAAAAATTACTTTAGAGTTTCAAATCTGTTGGTATAAAGATGTGTCTGTTTTTGGTATGGCTCAAAAGCAAAACATAGCTGGTAACATATCGAACGCAAAATCATAATGTATCTGCTACACTAAATAAAAAGAGGTCTAAGAGAAGGGAAACACTTCCTTTTAACACAGGTTTTTCATTTTAAAGGCCTTTAATGATAATTATTATTTAGGTATCATCAAGATGTGTCGCTAGTCCTGACAATCCTGAAATAAAGAGAGCAGAAGTTTTTCAAAAATGTCGAACATGCCATGATTTTTCTGATGGTGGTTTCAGCAGATTCCTGCCAACACTTTAAACCATTCAGTCAACGCACTATTATTGTTGTTGCTTTATCAAAAATATAAATTCATGAGCCATGGACTCTGCTGAGGACGGCACATCTGGGGTAAAAAAAAAAAAAACTAAATGTAAACATTCTTGATTAGCAAGCATGCTAATTGGTATCTGCAGTCCCCTCTCAACTAACACAAACAGAAACATTAAAAATGACAATATACTCATCAGATAGAAAACTGAATAACTTTATTCAACATTTACATTTTAAAAAGATGACATTTTGTCTCAGGAGTATTAAGGATTGCACCGGTCTGACAGGATGCCACATGCATGTTATCATCTTAATTAGCAACTGTCAAAAGAGCAAAATTCCCTCTTGATGATGAGATGGAAAATGTGAGACTAAGACACTGAGAGTATCTGGATTAAACTCTTCTTAAAGCTGCAGGAGGTATAAAAAACTGTTCCCATCGTGTCCCCTTCTCCCATAGATCCAGAACGGGGACGAGGACATCGACAAGGCGTACCTGGCCCCGCCTCAGCCTGTCAAACAGTTCCTGATCTCACCGCCTGCATCACCACCTGTGGGCTGGAGCCAGCGCGAAGACGCTACGCCCGTCATCAACTACGACCTCCTGTGTGCAGTCGCCAAGCTAGGACCTGGTAAGAACTTCATAGCTAATATTTTAAAAAAAGCATTCGATACACAAAAACGCCCAGAAAACAGGCACAACATGGAGTAAAAAAAGTGTATGATGAAGGTATAATAAAAAGATTACTAATGTGAGTCATCGCTGCAGATTCAAACAGGAAATAATTTCACGCTCTCAGAAGGGTGTAACGGACAGGTCACGCTGCCAGGAAGCAATTTGTCAAAAGAATTGAGGGGAACATTTGTGAATCATCACAGATTTATTCTTGATTTTTCCTGCTTTTCAGTCATTCATAGGAAGCAACATCAGATCCAAATGACCTGAGTGTCATTATGAGGTGGGGGACATTTAAAAAAATAAACAAATCTAAGTGTAAGGCTTCTTAACAGAGACGCTCCTGCTCCAGTGTTACAGTGTCTTCCATGGTCATGCAGTTAGACCATAACTGATATCCGCAGTGCTGACCTCTGACATCTGTCAACGTCGCAGGTACTAAACCTCCACTCTCTGCACTCCGGCATGTCGAAGAAAATATGCCTCTGTGCCGGTCTTTCTGTGGCTTTGACTGCTGAAAGGTTAACACAATGGCAAATCACACAACACCTTGAGAACTGTAACTCCTGTCGAGCGTTGACTTCTTCTCTGGTGTTTTGTGCTGATGACAAAACAAAACTCAATGTTTTAGAGACTTCAGATGTTGTCTTCTTTTTTTAGACCTTTAAAAGCCAAAGTGTGAGGAATTAAACATTTGTGATACAAGCTACAATCTATGCTTTTACAATAAAGAAACCACATATTAACGTTCAGCATCAACTTCACTGTGACATCAAACACTTTTTTGACTGATTAGACTTTGGAGGTCATTGTTGAAAGGTCAAAGGTCTAGGTCCCTCATGTCCCTCCCAATCTTTGGATGAATCTTGTGAATTTCATATCTCAACAATACCCCCCCAAAGCCTTGTGTAGGGGACAATCCCTGCTTGTTCTACCTCTCATGTTTGGTTGCTATAGAGACACTATACTGTATCAGGGGGGCCCTGCATGATTCCAGCAGAAACTCTACTACCTAATTATGGTGTGTAAAATGTTCATTGTTCTAGTGATTACTCTGTCCTGACCAAAGTTCATGCTGTTGTAAAAAACTGATGTATGTAATCTGCAACTTGACTGGATAGCAGAGTCACACAGACACAAATCCAAAGTGGTGATCCGAGTTCTTTATCATGAGTAAATATTACTGTATGACTTCTTATCAACACAGACTTGATGCTGTGTCTTTGAGGTCCTGCTTTGAACAGGGATCATCTACTGTACTGATGAGGACCTTTAAGCTTTAGTCATTAACACGATGAGAAAGTGTAAGGTTCCCACTTTTAACGCAGGTCAGGGAGACACAGCATTTCAAATCAAATGAAGCTAGCTGTGAAATTCTTCCAGCTACAGTTTTTATTTCAACTGGAAATTAAAACACTTTCTGGATTTGAAAGGAGCGATGTGTTTTTGTTGACCTCTGTCTGACATTAAGGTCACAGTGTTTTTGAAGTAATGTATTTTGTGCACTAACTAACTCGGCCACCACGACTATTATTAGTGATCTGTTGAGAACTTTCAGCCCTTTGAAAAAAATATGTAGAGTTAGCCTAAATTAAAAAAAGCTTAACAGTGAACCATCTTTTAACTCTAAGGCAAACTAGTTTCACTGCACCACAAATAGATCTTTTTGTTCAGTTCCCATCCCTTTTACAATTCCAGCAAAGGCATGAATTGTGTCGGCTGCAAAGCTTCGACACAGTGAGATTTAGACGCTCTATAAGACCTCGTTCCCCTGCAGCTTGTTTGCTCAGAATTCATTAAGGCTCTTTTTGTCTGCGTTTCGGGGTAAGATCTTAGATTTGCAGAATCTCTCTGAAATGTCACCTAGGTCTGCCCTGTGCACGCTGTCGCCCTGTTTGTGTATGCAGGTGAAAGAAGGAAAACATCACCTCTAAGTCTGCATTCAATTTAACAGTTTCATCTATTTTGTTGTTTTTTTTCAAAAGCATGATTAAACTTTCTATACACTCATAAACATGCACACTGCACACACACTCTCCATCCCATAGGATCACTTCTGACACATTGCCATAGCAACACAGGGCATCAGGAAATGGCTTTGTCCTTCGCTTCACATCCTTAGAATCAGATTAGCGGCGGGCTGCAGCACGGTGCGCTGACTCCCTCTGTCAACCCTCCGCGGTAACAGCAGGACTCCCATTCTCTGTCCGGTTTTTTTCCACCTGTTTTGGCGCCGCAGAGGAAGAAAAAAGAAAAAAAAAAATCCACGCGACCAATTTCCTCCTGTCTGCCAGCTGTCTGATCTCATCTCCATGGCAACTGTGATACAATCTAGCAAGTGTGTGTGTTTACAATCTGAGTCCGCTGAGTTTGGCATCTGCACAAATACCAGGGCTATTCAGAGGCAAGCTGTTTTGTTTTCTCGTGAAGGGCTCGTCTAAGCGCCTGTCTGATCTGACACAAAGGACAGACAAACAGTCGATCGTCCTGTCATGTAAAAATATCCCACATGTGGAATAAATAGGCAAACAAAAAGATAACATAAAAGCTGCTGGACCTGTCTCACTGCACACATATTTCTACATGACGATTCAGATGGTTTTGATAAGATGATCAAAGGTTGCATCCAAAATAACTGAAATGTAGATTGAACGTTATCAAGCAACAAATTATATTTAAGTATTTAAGAAATTGAGCTCAGGGAAATCCCTCTGCAGCCTCATGGTCAGCTCCTGCTCGGGGCCTAAACATTGAAGAATCAGATATACAGTTTCTTTGAAACATGCCAAAAATGTTTTAATCAACCAGCTGGGAAATGTAGTTCCTAGAAAACTATTCAAAGAAGAGTAAATTTTACATTTTGGGATTATTTTCAGTCTTGGATCAATAGACAGTGGGTGCTGTAGTGAGTAAAAGCAGAAATAATCATACAATGCTCCCCCTCTTGGCCAGGACACTCTTGTAAATGAGATTTTTAACCTCAATGAGCTTCTCCTGGTTAAATACATTTAAAAAATAATAATAATGAAGCTTTCACTTCATGTGTAATACGGGTAAGAGGATCAGATCAAAGTCACCTTTAGTCTTCTCACAGGATTTGTTGAGTACAAGATAAAGAAGATCTTATCATTTAAAGGAAGAATGTGTGACTTTTTGATCTTGTAGATTTTGCTTTTGCGCAGCAGCATGAAACCAAAACAAACTGCTGTTTGGAGGCACCTCCGCCACACTGTAGCCTCCGCTCTCCTCCAGCCACACACCTCAAACCCTAATGTTAGCACACGAGTTCGCTCGTAGCGTCATATTGATGCAAACTGACACAGAATGACTGATCTAAAAACGCTTACGTGACATTAAATGAGCAGAGATACTAGAACAAAAAATGCAAAATCCACAAAGGCATGTGCATTCATGAAAGACAAGAAAAAAAAAACAGAAAAAAAAAACATTTTGACCGAAAAGGTGTAGGCTGAAGCTTTAGCTTATTACACCTACCCTTATTACAAATCTTATTATTTAAGACACGACTAGTTTGGTTACAAAAAAACAAAACATATCAGAACAAAATTTGTTCCAAGAATTTCTTTCAAAACAAAACAAATGAAACAAACAAAAAACAAAACAGAAGTCACACTCACAAAAAACAATCAAACCGACCTTTTATATTTGTTAAACACCATTTTTTAAAACTAAAATTTAAATCTGGAAAGTGAACTACACATTCTTAATTCCATCTCATAAGTATTCCACAAGTTAACCCCTTTTACCGAAATACACCTGTTCTTTATGTTTGTCCTTACCTTTGGTTATTTATACGACAGTCATGACTCAGAGAGGCTTTTACAGGATAAACCTGATTTCTGCTTTTTTTATGTGTCTAATGTCGCACGTTTTCACAAATGTTCACAGTTCCTCTCCTCTGAAATCTTTTATTTGGACGATATTTTATGTTATGCTTTCCTTTTCTCTCCTTTACCCCCTCTCTCTTCCAGGTGAAAAGTACGAGCTCCACGCGGGCACAGAGTCCACCCCCAGCGTGGTCGTCCACGTGTGCGAGAGCGAGACGGAGGAGGACGAGGCGGCGCGGCCAAAGCAGCAGATCGTCCAGACCAGACGTCCAGACGGACCCCCGAAAGTCTTAAACTAGAGAGGCCTCCCCCACGACATCGGCGCGGCCCCCAGTCCGCCCCTTATTAAAACCCTGCGACACACCTGCCCTCTCTCTCTTGTCTCTGCACTCACAGAGAGCGTTGACGCCCCTCATTTCAGTTCAACTACAAAAGCAAAAAACAAAAAAACCAACAAACATTGCTCAAAGACGGTGTTTGTGGGGAACGTGGCGATGGAATGAGGTGGCTTGAAAGGGGATGGATGAGAATCACACACACACTCATCACATTCTGCGGACAGCGTGGGGGAGCGGCAGCCAATGTTTGCCTCCCAACGCCCCCACCAACCCCCCTTTTTCAGCAAAGAGGGGCCGGGGAAAAAACCTGTCCCAACGCAGGCACCTGTCACTTTTTTCACACACACTCAGCTCTCATTGCTCGTCAGAAGTTTCACTCGTTAGTTAGCTTGTTAGCTTGTTAGCTTGTTAGCTTGAACCTCTCCTTTTGTCTCACTGTTGTTTATCCTCTTCAGTTGAGGTACATGCCAGACCTCTACACAGAGACATTTTATTCTTTCTTTTTTTTTGTTTTTTTTACATTTTCAGACGACTTTTACAAATATTTATTGGTTTTATTTCATTCATTTTCATATCTGCCGGTCTGTCGCTTCAGCTCGCATCAAGATTGAGTGTGTGATGTTTCCGCTCCTGTCTGCATGTATATACTGTATAACTAAAAACACATACAGAAACACAAATACTAACAAGATATATCCAGAAAAAAAGGAACTTATTTAACATGACACACAGCACGAAGCGCCATATGTGACTAACAAAAGTTGTGGTGGTTTTTTTCTGACTTTTATTTTATTTTTTTCTTGGCTTGTTTTTTGATTTTGTCTTTTCATTTGGAGAGGTGTCGTTTTTTCGCTGAACTACTTCGATGTGTATTCTTACAATGTATTTGTTACCCAGATACTTTTGCATGCCTAGTTACTTCTGTAGATGAGGAGCTGAGGTGTATTTTTTAATCGTTGTTTGTGTCGACGAGGAGGTGGTGTGACAAAATTTCAAAAGGGGAAGGAGTGCATATCCCCCCTGTGCAGAGTTTCAAGTGACGTCTTAGGTGGACGAAGAAAAAAAAAATCTGAAAAGAGACGGTTCAGTATTCAACGAGATGGAAAATCCGCGTTTGTCACCTTCGATGGGATTTGACGAATCAGAGACAGTTCATCCCCGCCGTTTTCTTCAAGGGGTTTGAAAAGCTGATTTCCTGTTCACTCACATCTCTCATGTCTTATTATGTTTGATGAAACTCACCTTCCTGTGTCAGGTATTCTTCTGGAAACCTTTCACCAATTTTTTTTTCTTTCTTTTTTTTGCACTGACTATCTCCAAGCAAACACGGGGGACTTCTTCTCGCGTCTCCGTCAAAGAATACCGCGCTGCTTCTCGCTGTAAATAGCCCAGCGATAGATTTGTGGAAATAGTCGATTTTTTGCTGAGAAAAAAGGGAAAAATGAAAAAGCCTCATGCGACACCAACCAAAGCATCCACTCACCTCACACCGTCATCATGACTTTCACTTTCTAAACTGATTTATTCAGTTTCAAAAAACAGAAAGAAATCATTCCACATATTTTATATTCTTTTGAGCCGTTCTAAATCAGATGAAACTCTTTTACAAATATCCATAAACTCCCAAATACTTTTCAGTTCATCCTCCCACAAAGTCCCGCATCATATCAGTGCTTTCCCTCCGATATTTGAACGCTTTACAAGCAGCAAGCAAATGTTCCTAACAGGGCTGTTTGGACGTCAGCAGTGAGTCTGAATCGTATCCGACATGAGGCAGCATGAAAATCGAACATGACTTTTACATTTCTGCTTTATATAATTATCGAGCAAAAAGAGAAGTCTGTCTGCATGTGAGCACTTTAATGTTTTGTTTCCTTCACACAAAAACTAAAAAAGTAGGAAGCACATTTCATTTCTTCTGTTTCTTTCTTGTGTTGTTGTTTTTTTTTTTTTATCTTAAGCCAATCACCTGGTTAGCCTTTTTCACCAGCATATTGCAGTGAGAGAAAAATAAAAAAATGCTCCACTTCCTTTTTGCTTGTGTGAACTGTGGAGAATTTCAGGCCTTGTTTTTTTTTTTTTTGATCAAAAGGGAGCGAAGCGCTGTAAATGCATGGACACCCGACGGGCTTTTAAAACAAGGCGGGGTGACACTCTACAAAAGAAAATCAGTGTCTTTGTTTTCATGTTCATGTTATCTCCTTGAGAACGTACTCCTTTTGAAAAGCGTTGCGATGGCTGAGTGCAGTTTTATTTTGCACCCGAGTGGAAGCCGCCGCGTTTATCCGAGCTGACGGCTGATTGGACGAACTCCGACGATAACAGAGGAAGATTTTTGTACTCTCTGTGGTCATGGTGTTTTAAACTGGGTGGTCACAGTTGAAATTGAAGATGTATATTTATGTACATATGCCAAGTGTTTTTCTTTGTTTTTTTTGTTTTGTCGTTGCTGAGGCCAGTCCCAGTGTGCAGTTTGTTACGGCTTCTCTTGGCAATGATGTGATGGGGGGAAAAAAAACAAAAGAAAACTAAGAAAAAAAAAGAAAAAAACCAAGAAAAAGTTTAATAATAAGTCCTGAAGATGCTCGATCAAAAAACCAACTGTCATTGTGTTGTGTTCAACATGGACTCTGTTTGAATGTTTTCTTTCATTTTCTGGGGAACGTCTACTTAAAAAGGTCAATAATGCCGTTTGTCACTGTTGTACCGTTTCTGTTCCGATATGAATATTGTGTCTTGTATTGTAGGATTCCAGAAAACAAAAGTAGCAAAACAAGCAATAATTTACAGTTCTATGATACCGCTCTGTGTATTTTCATGTTCTGTACTTATTTCTTCAGAGGTGGTCTCTGTTCTCTGAAAGTATCCGCTTCTATTTGTGTAGTATAATAGCAATTTGTTTCACATAGAGAAATACATAAAGACTTATTCTTAAAAAGACATGCTCCGTGGTGTTTCTTTTAGGAGCCACACAAGTACAGGAAAAGAAACAGATTCACTTTTGTCAGGAACTGGCTCGAAGTAAGAAGGTCAAAGAAGGGTATCACACATGAAGGTTTAAGGAAGTTAAATGAATAGAAACTAAATCATAATTATACAGCCACCTACTTCCTTTTTCATGCACGACCTGCTCCGACCTCCACCTCAGCGGCAAGGAAGCGTGGACGACAGGAACTCGAATACAAAGGAGAGATCGCCGGTCGTTGCCCTAGTTTTTGATATACATTAAAACTATGTTTATTTATTATTCGCATATTTGAGAAAAACAGTAGCTTAGCTCATGCTATAGCACAAATGAATGTAAGAGACTGTTCCATTCACTTAAAGGCACATGTCAGACTTAAATATCTCTATAGCATCTTTACACTTTATTTTAGACCCATAGGTCCATATCTTCATCCACTCAATGATCCCAAAATGTAAACATCCTTGTTGATTTATATTAAAATATTGTACAATTCATGACAGTAAACTTACGAGGGATGAGCTGGCACTACTACCAGCCATCGTCCCTGACGCCCAGCCTCCTCCGCCTTACAGGTAGGTAGGTGGATGGATGGATGAGCAGTGAAATGAGCTGTCCACTGATGCTACTTCTCTGGCCATGCCGTGGTGTCATGGAGAAGGATCGCTACCAATTGTCCAATATATCTCATCCTGTCTTTCACATGCAATCCTCAGTGTGTCCCTACACCTGCCCAAAACTGAGCCAGCATTTTTTCTATCAGCTTGTCAAGCCGCATAGTGTTCCTGTCGGTCATGTTGCCCCTCCAGCACCATAAAAAAACAACACTTTCCAACACTGACTGATAGAACACTTCCACACATCAAAAAGACCTGAGCCGCCTCGAGGAAGAGAGTGGGCTCTGTCCCTTTCGGCGGATGGAATCAGTGTTCACAGCTTTTTGTTTTTCTCACTGCTTTATAATGCAAAGAGCAATGGTGCAGCTGTCACTTGCACTTTGCACCTCATATTCCCCCCCTCCCCCCGCCCAAGGACCTCACAGCAGTTAATATCGTATCAGGTCACAGCCTTGCTTTAATTGTAAGGACGCTGACAGCAAGGTTGAGTAAATGATTCTTTCAGTGGCAACACACACGGTGAGGCGGCTGTGAGGCAGTGCAGCCGTGACCTGTGTGTTGTGTTTTTTTCACAGCTGCAGTCTCGGCGTGTCAGGCATGACAAAAAAAAAAAGAGCGATGACTTGGTCATGAATTCCATGACAGGAGACTTTTCACTTCCTACTTCCTCTTTGTTATTGTGCAAAGGGAAGGAAAACAACAAAAGGCCGTGGGTTTGTTTTCAAAAGCACGTTTCACAACTTCAGGTGCGCTCACAAAAGGATGGAAAGATGCACATCACCAAAAAAAAAAAAGAGAAACAACAGTTTTTATAGTGCAAAGATGTATGCTTTCTGATTTGTAAAAACACAGCATACTTATTATAAAGACGCAGGTTTTGGAAAGGGTCAGAGGTCGAAGCTGATACCGCACGCTAACAGGTGAAAACAAACAACAGCTGTGAGTGTTTTATAGGTAGAGAAGGACATAACAGCAGCTGTGAAATAGTGTGTGCCGCCTTGTGTCCTCTCACAAAAAGCTCTCTTCATGGTGCACGGAGAGGAATTCCTCCTCACAATGACCCTCACTGTTCAACGTTAAGATGTGCTGCACCTGAGAGGAACAAACCCAGGTAAAGCCAGCCTTTAGTGAGAGTGTTAATGGGGACGTTTTTTTTCCTTTTACAGGTTTCTGTACTTTCCACAATTACTCAGCTTGAACATCTCGGTTGCTCAAGCAGGAATCTTTGAGTGGTGCATGAGTCACACGTCGACAATGAGATTTACACAATGAGTTTTTTAGTGGGCTGCTTAAAGGTACACATACCGTGATATGCAGACACAGCGTAATGGTTTTATGTCCAGCTTAGTCCAAACATTTATCTCGGCTTTTACATCCTCTGTGATGATAAAGTGATAAGTAAGAGTGAGAGTAAACACTTTAATCCGTCTCAGGAAGAAGGTGAGATAACACTGATACGACTTCCTCTGTTTTATTGCCTGATTAAAATATTTATATTTGTTATGGTGCGTACTGTCTCCAATACTAAAATGTAGATTATTCTGATAAATGTTGATGTGCAGGCCAGCAGGAAGGTGCACATTCCTCTCGCTCATGAGTCAGTTTACATAGAAATATGTGTGAATAATTATAATCTCTCAAAGTACTTAGAAGGGCAGTTAGGTATTTTGTGTTTGTTCAGTAATGTTTGAGTCTCGTTCACTCCAAGGGAAGTGAGATTGATCACACCTGCAGTCAAAGTGGCACTGGTTTCACTCACACTGCCCGCCATCCAGAAATACAAATATATTTTGGCCTTTTTTTTTCATTTATTTTTATTTCTTTTGAAAAATATAACAACAAAAAAACAAACAAAACCCACACACACAAACCCAAAACAAAAAAGTGACACACACATCACCAATGACATAACCATGATTTACTTTCAGTTTTTGCAACCAAAATAATGTTTCCATACATCCCCTATTCATTATATATTTTATTAAATTAAGATATCACCACATTTTCCCTTGCCAACCTGTATCTAAACATCCACTGGGCACCTCAGGGACACTTTCATTGGTCAGCACAAGCAAGAATTCTTGTAATGTGGTAATACTTATTAACATTAATCCAACACTTTTCCAGAGAGAAATGATGGTTCCAGAAAAAAATGATCGAAAGAGACAAGCCATAAGAAACCCGAGGAGAAACACAACCAATAGGAGAGATTGAAAAACAAGCTACATAGATGACACTCTTGTTTTAAACAGATTTCAAAGAGAAGCCAACATAACACTGGGATTTAATTTCTCGGTATGAAACTCGACCCCCAGCTTTCCACGATGTGGAGGACTGTAATCGTCCTCCACATCGTCTGAACCGGGAGACACTCACAGTGCACGTCCTCTGCAGGCCATTAGAGCCACACAATGTGAGTCAGAAGTTTAGTTACACTTTCTCACAAAGCTCAAAAGAGTCAACAACTTTGACCCCCAAGAGGTAACATGAGGCGGACAACTTGTTTTCCTTCCTGCTGCAGTGAGCGTGAGGCTGATAGGGCCACTTATTTGGCACATTTGTACCCGTGAAAAACATTTTTTCTATTCAGTGGGGCAACTTTCACACAAATGTTGCCAAGTCTTTGAAAGGAGCTTATTGTCCCCTGAGAAGAAAAGGAAAGAAAAGACTGTCACATTTCTACAAACACACCCAGTACCCTTTGGACGGTTATTATACTAATAAACACAAAGTTAATTTTCAACCAGACACATTAAAAAACACTTCCTACAAAGATGAAGGGATAAGTGGGAACTTTACACAGCACATTATTTGTCTACACACTTACACAAAGCATGCACACACATGCCAAAAAAATATTTTTAATGCATTACTTGAGGAGAAAAAAAGAACCTGCTTGTGCAAACATTCAGTGTAATTTTGCAGTTTCCAACCCTGGATTTGACATCATGTATTGTCTTTTTTATCCTACTACAATTTTAAATATTCTTCTCCTATGTATTAATTTTAATATCTTATTGCTTTTATGTGTCGTATTTTTTTTTCCTTTTTAAAAAAAAATGCTTATTGGTGTGCATTAGTCTCTCAATGATTTTATAAACCACTTTGTCGTCAATAACTTTTCTGCACTCTTTGAACTGCAATTTAATTTGTCTGAAAGGTGCTATATCAATAAAGTTTTATTGATTGATTGATCTTCCATCTGCCGTGACAAAAGCCTCCCCCTCTGCAGTCTATGTCAAACATCCTTTGAGAGACGCAGCCGGTCGGATTTTTGAGAGGATGTAGTCATGGTGAGCACCGAGCAGAGCAGACGACTCTGGAGAGAAGGCCTCACTTTTTTTTGATCATCGTCCACGGCACGCCTAAGGGCCGGGCGGAAGGACCTGAAAAACCAGCTGCCTGACATTATTACTCTCTGTGAGGAGCAACAAGTGAGCAAGCGTGGAGCCTCCTCCTCCTCCTCCCCTTTCACATAAACACTGTGATTCGCACAGAACCCTCGCACACACACATATACACACATACACACACGTACAGGTGTCTCCTCTTGTTTTCAGTCCTGTGTTCGAGTCTCTAACCTTCTGTTTGGACACAGCCTTGGACTTGATTTCATCCCTTGGAGCAGCTCGCACTCTCTTCTACTCACCCCGAGGCTCCTTCCTGAGAGCTGCTGCGACTAGTCGGCTCGCCACCTGTGGACTATGCCCCCCTCAGTCAGCTGAGGGAGGGGGCTCTGCACCGCTCAGGCTCCTGTCTGGGAAAGGCTTGGGCTGAAACTAAAGAGGAGACGGTTAGGTGAGTCACGCACAAATCTCTGCTTTTCACTCCCTTCTCCTTCTCCTTCTTCTTCTTCTTCTACCTCTATCATGATTGAGAGTTCAAGTCTTTTTTAGTGTTTGTTTGTTTGTGTGTGTGTGTGTGTGTGTGTGTGTGTGTGTGTGTGTGTGTGTGTGTACTGTATATGCGATAGAGGGAAGGGTTCTCCCCGACAGCGTGGCGGGACAGCAGGTGAGTCTCAGGTGAAAGGAAATAGCTCGCATACCTCAGAGTGTCAGATTCTGAGATTGACTCTGTTACAGCTGAACCAGAGGGAACAACGCAGATTTTCATGGGGAGGATTCAGTTTCAGTTCCCACCACTATCTTCCCTCTGTATCTCTTTTATGATGAAGTGACTGTTTGAGGGAACAGCCCCACTTATCGTCTCATCAGTCACCTCTGCACTGTAGGAAAATATGACTGTGCTGTTGGTTAAATATGGCTGTTAGTGTGAGATAATTCTCTTCATAGCCTTATAGACGTTTTAGTCAGAGTCATTTTGTTTTTAAAGATATTTGAGCAGGATGGAAAAGTTGCTTCTCAACTTCACTAATTATGTAAAGGTACAGTCACTCGTGTAAAGGTCATTGACCATTTTATGCATACCAGCTGCGCCTCCTGTTTAATTGGGCAGAGCTTTAAACCTTAATTAAGAGTTTGAACCACCTTGAAATGTCACTGGGAGAGTAGCCCCGTTAATTAGCAGCGTAAGTTGTTATTTTATGCCCACAGACAGTGATATAGTTTTTAAAAATACTCCCCATTAGAGAATGATAAAAAGAAGAATATAAAAGTGTATCAAGGTACAAAACACAATGAACAGGTTATTGATTTCTTACATTTCAAATATATGATTCTACTTACAGGCTCTGTCAATCCATCAATCAATCAATCAATATCTTCTTATATTGTGCCAAATTATATTAAATTGAATCTCTGGATACACAACAATTGATCTCTGTAGGGGCTTCTTTCAGTCTCTGTTCAGGTTAATATAGGCCTATACATATGGGAGGCAACGTTACATGTAACAAATGTATCATGGGTTTCTTTGTAAGCTGCTTTACTGGATGCTTAGAATTTCCCTCAGGATCAATAAAGTATCTATCTACATCCATCCATCCATCCATCCATCTATCACTCACAGTATGTTTTATTATATAAAGCATTAGAAAGACTACTGTACATAAAATGTCCAGAATAACAAATAGAAATTGTGATATTCATTATTCTACATAAGATTGAAAGTTAAATTCCAGGACAATCTGAAAAGGGCAGCCTTGCTCTACTGCATGACATTATTCTGACTAACATGATGATGATAGTGTTGATTATGGACTTTAATGCTTTAAGTGTCGGATTATATGCGTCATGGAAAATCTGCATGTCCTCACTCGAAAGACAAATCTACACCCGGACTATTTGATCAGCTTTCTGTCCAGATTAAAGCTACGTATCTGTTTGTACGATAAGAGATCAATCAGATATAAGGGAAGTCTAGAAATGTAAAATTATCTTTTGTCAGTGGAGCGGTTAAAATGACTCTGACTGACAGGTTCATGTTTAACGACCGAAATGAAACCAGACAATCCGTCACAGTGTGATGTTTTTAAAGGCGTCATGAATCTGGGCTGATGAGAACGTGACCTCGTTTTGTTCATGTGAGATAAAAGATGAAACGCATCTCAAACAATTAGAACAACAGATGCACTCATAATGTTGTTTTTGTTGATTACTTTATATGGTATCGCCAAAATAATAAACTGCACTGACGTCTTAAAAAATCCAACGATCGCAAATTTTACAAAAAAGACAAATTTAAAGGAAGAATGTGTAACTTTTTACACATAAATACAAGAGAAATCCAGTTTATCCTCTGTAAATGTGTCTCTGAGTCATGACTGTCTACAATGAGTGAGAAGCTTGAGTCCCTCCAGCTGTATTGTTGTCGGATCTGTGTTTACATCGTGTTTACATACCCAGGGTATAAAAGCTGTTCAAGTGAGGGACTATAAAAAAAACAAGAAAAACATACTGAAATCACTGTGTAACACTCAGGATACAAAATTTACTTTAAATCAAATATGTATTCATAAATAATAAATGATCAAAAAAAGAAGATACATCAAATTAAGGTGTACTGGGCTAATGTAGGTTAGACTCTTAAACACATGACACAGAATGTTGATAACCGGTTGTGTATTTCAAAGTTCAATTTGTAACAAATAACAAATTGTCCAACGTCAGCAGTGTTCCAACTGCGTAAACGTTTTTTTAGATCACGGTAATTCCATGTAAATTTACATGCAATATGCAGCTACGAGCTAACTAAAGAGCGCCGCCATTAGCCTGCTGACACAACAATGCAGCTCCAGACAAGGACGATTTTGGGTAGCGATTAATTAATGTGCGTTCCAATTTGAAAACTCTTTTGTGCAAACCCGAGGGGAGAGGGGCTTTGTGGTGAGCTGCTGGAGGAGAGAGAAGGATTCAGTGTGGCGGACAGCAGTTTGTTTTGGTTTCATGCTGGTACTCAAGGGCGACATCTACTGGATCAAAGTCGCACATTCTTCCTTTAACTTCACAAAGTCTCTGTTTATGTTCGACTAGAAGTGAAAGTAAAACACGCGTTAAACTTTTTGTGCAGCTATTCAAAAGATTTTACAGCCTGATCTTTCACCACCAAATGACAAATGTAAGGATAAAGTTAAATAATTTGCTTTTAACTCTCACTCTCTCACTATAAACTGAAACAAAATTGTGATGAATTACAACCAAACACGCATTATTAAGTGAGTTCAGTTTAAATCTCTGATGTCACTCCATCATTTACGTCACTGACCGTTGTGTCAGGGTTACTGTAAATCCCCCCAGTGACTGTCGGAGGTCAATAAAAGTCATAGTTAAATCCCTCTTTAGTGCGACAGCTTGATAACAAATGATGAATTTACATCTGACGTGGCCTAGATGACCTCTCTGCTGTGACTGTATAGACCAGCGCCTCCTCTACTAGCTCCACCTACGCCGTATTAACCGACTTCAAATTGGCAGCTCAAATATTGACTCCTCAATTGATGAAGGTCAGCCTCTGAATGTGTTTATTGCAATGTGCGTAGGGGGGAGCCCGTGTTATTGCACTAAATGTGTGGAGGAACACGTGCATTGAGGGGAATAGGTCGAGCCGGCCGACAGCTCTGTCTGGTTTTTCCCTCGTATGAAAAAAAGAAGAAGAGGACTCTAAATTGTTCCTGTTCTGTGTTGGGAGACCAATAAAATGATTTGTCTACTGAGGAAGGAAGAAAAGGATATTGAGTCTGCGGTGTGAGCGAGTAGCAGCAGATTGTGGAAAAGCAAACAAACTGTTATTACAGCAAAGAGGAGACTGGTCGATGAGGAAGTAGATACTGACGTCAAAACAAAGAGCCCTGTTTAGATGGAGTTCAAAATTCTTGCATCTGAAAAAACATCATAAAACATCACTGAAGCTTGCCTCCTGATGATGTCAACATGCTATATCTTTATTTTTATTGTGTGTTAGCTGAGGCAGGCCAGTGGTCAGCACAGGAAGAAGATCCTGGGTTCAGACCTGCGCGTTTCAGAATCAGAAATACTTTATTAATCCCAGAGAGAAATTTGGTTTCAAAGTTAAAGCCGATGCTCTTCACTGGCCATTTCCCTGATGTGTTGTGGTACACTAAAAGATGTGTTGATGGCTAATGGTGTTTCCAATCTGTGGCCAAGAAAGTTTCCCAGCTGTTTGTTTAGAATCCACGCTATGAAGGGATAATTGGTGTCCAATGGAGAAAAACGTGTCTTCATTTAGAAATCAAACGTTAAAATTAGTCTTGAATCTATAGATAAAGTTTGTGGCTGCGTTTAGCTGTATGGTTTGCCTAGCTAGGTGAGTTTAGCTCGCTAATTGAGCTGAGCAAAACTGGAAGCAGTGGGGAAACTTAGCCTTGATATGTCCAGAGGGGACAAGGTGAGGCGGGCCTATAGCCAACGGGAAAAGAATTACAATGGGCCCACCTCTCAAATTAGTCACGTATTAATATAATTAAAACGGATGAGTCATGAAAAAAAAATCTAAAAAACTGTACAGTCTGTACACATATATAAATTAGCTATCCAGGCCGATCTGCTTTTTTCTTTTTTTTTACAAGGCCATGTTTTTTTTTCTGCTATAAAATTGACATTTTAATATGGGTGTTAATAGGACATCCCAGCTTTTGCAGCCAGCCCTCAAGTGGACACTCGAAGGAACTGCAGTTTTTTTGCACTACCACACTGACTTCATTTTTCAACACTGGAGATAGCCTGGTCAGGATAAATCGAATCCTTGTAGAGTGATTTGGTGACAGAGCCTTGCTAGCCTTTTCCTGTGTTACCAGCTCTATTTTAAAATAAGCTACGCTAAGCTAAGCGGCTGCTAGATTAAACTTCATATTTACCGAAAATAAGAGTTGGGTTTATATTCTTCTCTAACACATGACTAAATCAGATATCCTTAAAGAGTCTTCTTTCAGTCTGACAAAAACACACAGTCTTTCCTTTTATTGTTTAAGATTATTTGCAGTTGGGGATGCTCTGTTATAATGCGTCACCGCTTATCAATCTAATTATCTTACATTATACATTAAACACTTTTTGCAATGTTCGCTGCTCAGAGCATTGATGGTATTTGCTCTTTTGACCAAGCCCAAGTTAGAGGAAGTCGCAAACTGCAGCTGTGGGATAGTTAGCTGAACGTGAAGGTGGCTACATGTCGGAGTCTTATTTGAATAACGTAGGAGTTTCCTTTGTTGAAGGCTCTCCCAAACCTTAAGTGACCTCTACCAAAGCTACACATTACCTATACCTGTCGACACAACTTGTTTTGTGAGCCACATCCGCCTACTACTAATGAAAACACCAGCATGTGCCGATGTAGGCCTCTCTGTACATACCATTTAGAGACCAGTAAACTTCTAACCTGACTTTTATAGCCACAAATAACTCAAATATTTTGTTTGACATTTTTTTGATTTTTTACACTAACTGTTTCTGCTTCTTCAGCAGTTTTATGTCGACCTAGTTTTGCACATGAAAACAAAGAAAGTCCCTCCTGGGACAATAAAATATATCTCTTACTTTCCTCAGTTACGCCCTCACATCCTCAACAAAAGCTGACACATGATGCAGAATTGTGTTGCCCTGCCTAAAACACTTTGGGGATACTAGTGACGCTTCTGGCTACGAAACAGAACATTAAACTTTAGATGATCAGCGCAAATTTCCAGATCAGATTTATTGTATCTTGAAATAAAAACTTCCCTTGAATGACTAGTTTTCAGCAGATTTCAGAAAATATGTATCGAAAGCCAAATTGGATCTTTGCTTTTTAAGGGCCATTGTGTTCTTTTAAAGGAAAGCTGGTTTTCTCATCATTTGATACTGAAGTAAAAATGAAATTAGATTAGATTAGATTATAAATTTATACTTACAGTAACATTTACCATAAACAGCTGACTATGAATTATGTTAAAAATACTGATTACTGTATTTTCCAAACATCACTTATATACATTATCTTCTGTAAATATTTTTAAATATACATTCTCCCTCTTCTTTTCACTTGAATGCAATTAGTTTTGGGTGATGGATGTCTGAATATTTGTGCACGTTTAAGGAGAAGCATTTCTAATCTTGCATGGTGCAAGTGGTCACATGGTGCCGTTACCTCACAGCGAGGAGGTTCAAGGTTAGAATCCCTGCCTGACAGGAGCCTCTCTATGGGGAGTTTGCATGTTCTCCCCGTGCATGCGTTGGGTTCTCCGGCTTCCTCCCAAAGTCCAAAGACATGCTCATTAGGTTATTTGGTGAGTCTAAATTGTCCTTAGGTGTGACTGTGAGCGTGCCTGATTGTCTGTCTCTATATGTCAGCCTCTGTGATTGACTTATGTTCAGTCCAGGGTGTAACCCCGACTTTCGCCCAATGACGGCTGGGATCGACTCCAGCCCCCCCCCGCGACCCCGAATGGGAAGAGCGGGATGAATTCTATCATGACAATAAAGGCTTTCAATTTCTATTTCTATCTCAAGCCCATTCAGACAAATATGTTGTATATGTGAACATTTTTTATATTTTGGCTTTACAAATACAAATTGTGGGACAACCATAATATTGCCAAATCCAGCTGCACGGTTACCAAAGCTGCCACCGTGTTACCAAAGCAGTAGTGTTACCAAGCAAATAACCAGTAATCCACTTATCAGAGGCTGTCACCTCTGCAAACAGCAACATGATATATGCCACTGTTAATCTCTACGCCTAATAGTAAGTAAACACAGAGGGAGTAGTTTGTGCAATATTTGCTGTTGAGCAGGAAGTACGATATTCCACGTACAGTACACACAATTATCGAGTGCTAGCCTCAAGTTTTTCTGTTGCCAACCTGAGATTCAGTTTAGATTCCTTTTTTTATTTTTCAAGGATAAAACCTACATTTCTGGAATATTTTTCCACTACGCTTGACCCTGTTGCAGCAGCAGGTTGTGCAATTTACTGTATCTCTGACTGTTGATGACAGCCATAGGACACACAGATAATGACTGCCACATGCACGGTGTTGTAAACGGTTTCACAATGCCTCCAGGATATGCACAGCTGGCTGGTGCCATGTAAACTTTTACGCCCCATTGATGTTGAAGTTAATGCACACAGGACTCTGTCTTTGTCTGCACATCACGGCCTTAAACACAGCATGCAGATAACGTTGGTGTTGTTCAGGGAAATTGGGACAATTTTTACATTTACGTTTGTGTTTGCTTCCTTGCAAAGAATTTTCTGAAAAAAATCTGCCTCAGCCTTTGCCTGTCGTTAGTTTTCTGCATTTCCAGCATGGAGACCTCCATTGATTGGACTCCAAAGCCCCCTGCAGTTACACCGTTAGCAAAAAATTAACCTAAAAAAAATACAAAAAAGAAGAAGCCAGTTTGTGATTTTAAACTTGTTTTTATTTGTTGGTCCTCTTTGTTGTAATCAATAAATGTCAGGAGATTTTAAGAGTGTTAGCTTAAGAGGCGCTTGCTGTTTCAAGTCTTTTCAAGCTAGCAGGCTGCCAGCTATAACCTCATAGCTGCCCAATCAGAGTTCATCTTCTGATATCACTTTCTACAAGACATTCCAAAGGGATATTCCCCAAATGTCAGACTCTTTCTTTAACAATGGCATCATCTTTGTTGGAAAAATGATGCGACGGCGTGTTTAAAAGAGTGGCGAGAGAGTGTGACTGTGTGTCTTTCAGAAGTAGCGCTATGCTATCATTTCATGTTGCATTAGCACTGTGATTTCATCTGTTAGCCGTTTTGAAAGTGACTGCAGTCTAATGTCTGTCAGCACGTAACTTCATCACCAGCCTTATCTTCACAGGTAGACAGGGAAGCCATGAAAGTAAAACCTTTGCATACTTTCTTTGTGGATTGACTGTGATCAATTGAGCAGCAGCGACAGTGAGGTATGTGTGTGAGAGTACGCACACACACACACACACACACACTGCTCTTCCTTGTGCCGGGCTTTTCTGCTTTTTATAGCTGATGCAAATGTTTTCCGCTTGAAGCTCCTGTTCTGTTTCTCCCTCCCAGCAGACATATTAAAACATCACTCCGTGTTTTAACTGTGACGATAATTTAATGCAACGCCTCTCCCTTCATCCGTCTCCTGAGACAATTTTTCCAATTAGCATGTAAACCACGATGTGAAGCCCGTCATGATCGATGACGATACGTTAAAAAACACTGAATGACGTCATTAACATCAATTAACAAACCCTTAATGACTGATTGCACATTCATTAAACGCTGCGTAAGATGCAGTCGTATCAAATCCTCCTTTGTACAAGATGATCATGATAATTATAGCACATCAAGCCTTTCTTATTAATGACCAAATATCTGAGTCAGGCGTGAATGACTCAGGCCATCATACCTTGTTAGTGTACATGAAGCGTGGGTGACTCCTCCCATTATTACGCAAGTAAGGCAAGTCCTGTGGAAAGTGTAAAACAGAGGTTCAAGTGATTTTTCTAAAATGAATATTTAATGCAATAAACCTACCTGTTAGTGAACTACAAGTGTAGTCATTTCATGTGACGTTTGCATGCAGTTCAGTATCTCCGGGTAAATGCAAATCCGATTATTTTTAAGTTTATCTCTCACAGGGACAGCCCTGTCCTACAGCGGGGTGTGGATTGTTTCCTGGGCGGTATCAGGGATTCCCCTGAATGATAGATAATCTCTGCATGACATGTGACGTTAGCAACACAGAAGTTTAGATCAAGATTAGAGTGTGTCCGCTTTGATCAAAACATAATGAAGCTACTTACACTGTAGCCCTCTGGATGCAAAACAACAGTCTCATTTGTCAGGACTGAATGTACACTGTACTGGGGCGAGCTGTGGCTCAGTTGGTAGAGTCGGTCGTCTCTCAACTCGAAGGTCGGGAGTTTGATCCCCAGCTCCTGCAGCAACATGTCTGCTGTGTCCTTGGGCAGGACACTTAACCCGAAGTTGCGCCTGCTGCGTCATTAGAGGCGTATGCATGTGTATGAATAGGATTAGTTATTGCTAATGGACACTTTACATAGCAGCCTCCACCATCAGTGTGTGAATGTGTAGGTGTGACATGCAGTGTAAAAGCGCTTTGAGTAGTCGATTTACCATTTACACAATCCAAGTACACCTCAGCATTAGGACTTTTATTAAACCTTCCTCATAGTGGAGTAAAAAGTACATTGTTGGGGTCCATTTTCTGCTGTGGATTTAGTGCTACATTCGTTATTAATCGCAGCAGAATGGTGTTGAAATGTGGAACCAATAGACACCACTGTTTGTGACGGGGAAAGACTAAATTTGATTTGATTAGATTAGCACATTTCATACAAATGTAAAGTCAATGTGCTTTACAGAAGATAGAAATACACAAACACAAGAAAGACTCTCATGAAAGAAGGAACAAATAGGCTCAGAAACACATAAATATAAAATCCAGAACATGTTTATAAAGGGACCCTGCTCCACATCAGGTCAGCAGGTGCATCTGAATATGTTTCTTAATTATTTTTTATTCTACGTTTTTTGGACAACAATAGAGCTTTTTTCCTACAGAGAATTAGTTACATTAAGCTTTGTTACACAATACTTGCAAGTATTAAAATCTGATGTGTAGTCAGTAGCCTAATGGTTATGTGACGCGTTCCATGTACAGAGGCTTTAGTTCTCATCTCCTGCTCTCTTCTCCTTTTCTACTTCCCTCTTTCCTGTCTCTCTTCAGCTGCCAGTCAAAGAAAACACTTAAATGCATTCCAAAGCGTTCAAAAAGTACTTACAGAAAAACACAGCCTTTTATTTTCTGAATTTATTCCCCCAAGAATTTGAGAATTAATGTTTGATAGGGTGCATACATGTGTCTGTGTGTCTGAAGGTAGAGGGGATTCATGCCATAAATATAAATGGTGATTGCCTAAAAAGCAGAACTATAGTGCAGCCATGTCTAAACCTTTTTTCTTCTAGTTCCGATCCTTTCGTTATCGGGCTGTTTAAAATCACAAGCGTTTGTGCCAAGCTTGAGCAGACATGTCAATGATGTATGACCACGTTGTTTGAGCTTAAAGCCTGCATGCTGATAGAGCGCAAACACAAAGATGTTCGGTCACATCTTTTCGTTTTGGATTGCTCAGTGATGGTGACGTAGATGTTACCAACATGCATTGCTGTGAAGTGTACAGTAGGAATTGTTGTTAAACGAGCATGTTAATTATAGCTGTAATTTGGCCTGAACATCAGTCCTGCGGTAGTAAAGTTGGCTTTCATCTGCGCTTCAGACAGAGCCTAAAATGTTCTGGTGAGGATCCTCATTCCTGTGGATTCCATTGATGCCACTCCCTCCGCTGTGCCACCTCTGATCGGCCGTATACTTATGTCCTCTAATGTTAAAACCAGATTATTTTCTTGCTTATCTTTGTTATAAAAAAGTTTATCTTTTCAAAATGTCTAATTTTTCATGCAGTGGGATAAATTTCTTTTGATATTTTGATTTTGAGTTTGCTTCTTTTGTCTGTGCAGGTCATTGCTGAAGATGCAAGCCTCAACTGTCTCACCTGTGACGACGCTACCTGCAAACACAACCGCTGTTACAAAGTCCAGAGAACAAATACTCATCCAGAGTAAGGATTTCTAAGTGTTGTGTTTGTTGTTTTTCCTATTAAATGGGAGATGATGTCATCACCGTCAGATCTCAATGTCCTCTGTGAGAGATTATTAGCCAAGCCTCATAAATAACAACCTATCGCATCATCGAGTGTAATCGGGATGGTTTGTACAGGAGTGGCACTCGTGCATTTAATGGCTAACTATTTGCCTTGTTCTGTTTGCCTGAGTGTGACGCTGTTGCCTAGCAACCACACCCTGCTGTTGAGTGGAGGCTACACAAAATAAGTTGCACAGCATGGAGCAGAGAGAATATATACAAAACTGATGATGCAAATTTAACAACAGACTCACAACCTTTCAGCGTGGTAACCTCTCATTCCTCCTCGTCTCTCTCTCTCTCTATCTGTGTCTCAGGTTCTGGGGCAATGATCGCCATCATTGTCATCGGCATCATAATCGTTCTCGCCGTTCTACTAATCATCCTGAAGATATACAACAGGTAGGACTGCATTCCTGCGCGACAGAACAATTCCTGCAGAGTGAAATGCCACGGGCCGGGGAACAAAGCAATCGTGCTATTCTTATCCACAGAAGGAAGAACGAGGCGGCAGCTGCTGCTACTTTTAACCTCTTTATTAGGTTATCAGACTGGGATTTACCTTGATAAAATCAACCATGCACTACTGTACAATGCTTTCTTATGACTCATAACCCTTTCGGGCCTGTTACTCTTTAGAAAGAAAAAAATACCTACACATAAAAAAAACTCAAGATTGACATACTGTATGTCACCTGCTTACTTTTGCATGATGTTCTAAATTGGGATTATTGGTTCAATCACTCAGGTGCACTCTCAAGTAAACCAGGCATCTATCTACAGGGGTGTGTCCAGACTTTTTTTTTAACTGGGGTGACCCACCTGGGCCACAGACGTTTGTGGGCACCAGCACGCAAATTAATTAATTTTTTTTACCCTTTCTATCCCACTTATGATGAGTTTTTGTAAGTTACACAATTTGGCCACATATAAATCTTCTTAGCTTGCTTCTTTAGGGACTCAAAAACAAGGATGTATATGTGCAAAGTAACAACATTTAAGTAACGTAGAAAATTGTATGGAAACTCTACACTGTGTAAAATAAATGTATTGGCATTCAGGTCCATTGTAATTTAGACAGTGTGCATGTGTTTTTGCTTGATTTTCTTTATGGAAAGAGCAAAGTGTTAATTTACAACTGAAAGTAATATCAACCTTTTGAAAACAGCCAGAATAGTTGATTTGTACTTAAGTCCCACCTCTGATTAGACAAGTAGCCAATCATAGATTTGGATTTTGGGGTGGCATCTGGGGTGGCCAATCAGATTTCAAGGAGGGGGGATCATACCACCCCTGGCCACCCCTCTAGACATATCCCTGTCTATCTCTGAATTTAATAAATTCAAATGAAATACTATTTAAAGTATTTGCAAAATATCACTTTTTTAATATTCCATTACTGCCAAATTGAGGAACTTGAAAAAATACAGATGTCTTTTACAGGAAATTGTATAAATGTTGTTCTTACATTCCTATGTGAAAATAATTTATGTAAAATACTTACACTATTATGCAACTTAAAGCTATTGAGGAATATAACAGGGATTCAACTCAAGCCAGTAAATATGAATTAAAGTGTGTCATATGGTGACTGACATAAGAGTTGTTGTTTTTTTCTAAATCCTGGTTTATTTGTTGCCAGGAGGACACATGTCTCCAGAGTCCTGGGAACCAGCGGTGCCTCCAAACCTCGTCAGAAGCTGTCCCAGTCCACCATGCAGACCAGCATACCGCTGAGCCCCCTTGGAGTCCACTCCGAGTCGGGCAGCATCCCCAATTTAACCCCAGCCTCAGAGAGCGGCTTCCAGCTGCCCCGCGTGGAGCTGAGCAGCCTGGAGCAAAACCACATAGAGCAGTCGAGCACCAACAGTGGCTCCACGGCGGTCACTATACACGAAGCTCCGACATTAGATAACACATAACAGAGAGAGGGTTTAGTCTCACAACAGGCACTGACTGATGAGTCGTCTTCTTACTGTGTGCTGACTGAATCCTGTGGAAACTCAAACGTCAGTGTCGTCACCGTCAATGTCCACCAGCCGAGCCGCTGCCAGAGACTACAAAGATAACAAGATGTCCTTTTGTTTTTACAAAACATGAACAAAAACCATAAACAGACATGGTGGATTACATGAAGGATTTTGCATTCCAGAAGAACTGAGACTTTGTTGTGAAGAATTGCTTTCTAGGCTCCACTCAGTGTTCACAGTGTAGATGCTATGTTTCTTACTGTTTGTACTTACTTTGCAGATGTGTCATCACTTCTAATACAATGAAGAAAATATGTTGTAAAGACTGTAAAGACTTAATGTTTCTCTTAATTATGCGCATTTCTAGACGACCACACCGTTTTTGAGTAAATGTGGAGTATGTTGAACTTCAAAGACAGTATGATAGAAGCTATGTTTGAAATACAATCATCCTTATTAAATGTGGTTTACCCTTGAATATATGATGTCTTTGTTTTCTGATCTCAGATTAGTCTTTGTCAAACTGAATGTTTTCTTTTTAAACTTTGTTTAATGAAGACATTACAGATATATTTTGTCAGACACACCCTGATGTGATGTTTCCGTCTGACGCCAAAAGATTTTGCACTTTATTTTCATTGATCCCTGCATTTGAAGTGTTTGTGGTTCTCAAAATGAAATGAGTTGAAAATAAAATTTAACATTTGTATTAATGGCTGACTCATTCTTTAGAATTGTGTGTCATTAAACCGAAAGAGTTAATTTAATTTGAATGAAAATTTTAATTGTAGGCTTATGAATCCTTAGAGGCTTAAACTGATCACACCTTGCTGTGAATCCGTAAGGCGGCAGTAGCTCAGTCTGTAGGGACTTGGGTTGGGAACCGGAGGGTCATTAGTTCGGTATGGACCAAAGTATGGGAGCTGGTCTGGTGGCTGGAGAGGTGTCAGGTCATTTCTAGAGTGCCTTGAGCCAGTGGTCCCCTAAGTGGAGGTCACCAGCCACCAAGAGGGGGGTCGCGAGATGTCTTTAAAAAAACGAATACACATTTTAAACTTAAAACAATATATTTTTCCCATTTATGTAAAACTATATATCGATTACAGAAAAAAAACACAACATTAGGTGAAATGAAACTGAAATTTATGTGTAAAAGTATTTAAAATGTGAGTTTGCATAACATAAAGATGAACACACTTTGTGTCTGTTTGTTAGGTTTTGTTTGTCCACTGGTGCTGAAGTCTGCATGCAATACTTGTATTCTGCTTCAAGCTGTCTGTGCACTACGATATATGCCATGAACAGGGGGGGCGGGGTCCCCAGCCTCTGGTAGGCCTACCCTAATTTTGGGAAAGCCTTCCTCAAGCAAGGCTCCGAACCCCCAGCAGCTCAGAAGAATGTTGCACGACAAGTTCATTTGCAAAAACAGATAAAAGCCATTCTTAAAACAGTGCCTTGAGAATTTTGATTAGCACATTAAATAGAGCTGTTGTGTGATCTAAAATCTGGTCTGGTGCAAAAACCCCAATACAGTCTATGGGGGACTACGATCTACGGTCAAAGCCACACAACTTCAGTCTGAGTGATATTACCTGAAATAAAACACAATATCAAATACAAAAAGGGAGTTATCTGCTTTTGCAAATTAGTTTTTCTTATACAGTCTAGTGCTGGGGTGGGCAACTGGCGGCCCTGGGGTCACATGTGGCCCCCATCAACCCTCAATTTTTACATATCAATTAATTGGAAACATGACAAAATCTGCCATGAAATCATGAAAACTTGAAATATGTCGACAATAACATTTGATCACTGGTTTATGTTGAGTTAAATCTGAGCCATAATTGACTGTAATCATTGTTTGTATTCTACAATTTGGCCCCCTGGCAGTGAGAATTAAACAAATGTGGCCCTCGCTGTGACCCAAGTTGCCCATCCCTGATCTAGCGGATTTAGTAATTGTGGATCATGTTATTGCGCCCTCTGCTGGCGGTCTTTTGGTACAACAACATTGCAAAAAAAAAAAAAAAAAAAAATCCCAAAGCTGCATTCAAGAAGACGAGAAAGGTTGCTTAGTATTATAATTTATGAATGCGACCGTCGCCACAAAGCCATTCGGTCCATGAGGTTTTGTTTCATTTTACTTTACACATTGGGTTAACTTGAACACATAACTCAGAAATCGTTTATTAATATGCCGTTTATATAATGTTCACTAATTACAACCGGGCGGTCTTGAATGCGACTTGAGAGCGTCTGTTTACACTACGATGGTGACCGTAGGTAAGCAACTAACGAGCAAATATCGATATTTCAAATGTTTTAAATGTGACCTATTTTACTTTTGAGGTCATATTAAATAATATTCATACAGAAAAATACAGAAACCCCCCCAAACATGGCTTATTTAAAGGGAGATGGTAAAGCTAAGGAAGTAAGCCTCTGATGCTAAGCCTCCTACTGTTGCAATGTTGTTGTTTATTAATCGGATATTGGCTATGTCGCCGATAAACAAACGAGTCTTAACAGTACTAGCAGGATATTTAAGTGTGTCAGGGTGTGATATGTGATGTTTTTGTTGCCACAGTGGAGCTGCTGAGTCTCCTGCTGGTGTCAGCTCTGTGGGGCTGCACAAACCCTCTCCTGAAGAGGGGCACAGAGGGAATAGAAAATGTGACAAAGACCAACAGAGTCTCACAGCTCCTGGCTGAGGTCAAGTTCCTTTTCCTCAACCTCAAGGTAAATCTTGTTCTTGTGTGTGCTGGCATGAAATAATCTTACATCCTTACATCCATTTGATTTGTTTTAAAGGGGACATATTCTGAAAAATCCACTTTTAAGTGTTGTTTTTTTCAAACACATATTTGGGTAACCTGAGTGTTTACCGACCCGCAAAATGTTAATAACCCCGTCAAGTCCTTAGTTTGTGGTCTGCATAAGTCTTACAACACAGAGAAAAATTCTCCGTTTCAAATGTGCTCTCCTTGTGATGTCACAGTGGGATTCTGGTAAAAAACACAATCTCCTCCCCTCACCTGGTATCTCCACCCATTGACTCCACCCCAGCCTAGAGCAAAGCTTTAGTGCAGGTCCGCCAATTTAAATCTCACTAGCAAAGGAGTGATGTCTGCTGGGAAAACTGGGGGGGCTCATTGGATTTAAAGAGACACACACACCAAAACGCAGCTGGTTTATACAGGGTCGCAAACCCTCCTCTGGTGCTTGATTCATGTTATATTTTGACCAAAGCACAGCACAGATGTTTCATTTAGAACACAGGAGACTGTTTGAAAAGGTGAAAAACAGGTATAATATGTCCTCTTTAATTCTTCTTCTTCTTCTTCTTCTTGCCCTGTTGCTGCACAGTACCTGGTCCCCTTTCTCCTGAACCAGAGCGGCTCCTTGGTCTATTATTATACACTTTCAACCGCAGGTGAGACTCACTTCAAAGAAAAGGATTGTAACACAAGTCAGTACACCTTCTCAGAGCTGATATTTGAACTCGGCCTAGCACGGAGAGCACAGGTGTGGCTAATAACATTAATGATTCAATTAAGTGTGGCAGGCACGCACACCCCTGAGTCCCTGAAGTCGCTGACCCAAATGTAATGCAACCATCGCTTATATAATAGAAAAAGCACACCTGGGCTTTTGCTGCTAAAATGCTAAAGGCTGATTGGAGAGTCACAGCTTAACCCAGAATCCCTGCATCATCAGAGAGTTACAGAGGATATCTGGCTCCTTTTTAAAAAATGACCCTTTAAATGTTGAGTTTCAGGCCCCTCCCATCAGGACGTCGATATAAAGTACCATCATGTACCACCATGGCAGCAGCCATTAGTGAGATGATCGAGACATAATGCATTAGAAAATTATTTTGGAGCATTTTTAGTATCTTTATTGACCTCTGCATTTTTATCTTGTCTTTCCATCATCTTGTTTTTTGCTGACGACTAATTTTTTTATCTTCTTTTACTTACCATGTTTTACTGATTGGTGGTATTTTCTTATTTGTATCTCTTTTTTTTGTCATCATGTTTTGTCTCACTCCTTGTAAATCCACCTACGGGTACAAAACAAAAGCTACCTTACCTTACCTTGATATTCGATGTTCTCCACATCTCTTCCTCAGAGTTATCGCTTGCTGTTCCCGTGGCCAACTCTCTCACCTTCCTCTGCACTCTGCTCACTGGCAAGTTACTGGGAGAAGAGTTTGGAGGCAAACGTAAGCGACTCATTTTCTCTTACGCTACCTCTGTTTTCTGTGCCAGGGCAGTCGCACAGCAAGAGTTATCCTAAAGAAATGATACATGTAAGATGCTAAGGAGTCAACATGAAGCTATTTGCACCAGAAAAGAGATTCAGCAATGTGACACAAGCATGAATCATCTAAATATGACTCTGCTGGCATGCCAAGATATTACTAACCTCCTTTTCTCCTCTCCTTAAAATAACACTCTATTGGTTGTGTTTTGTCTTGTTTGATTTTATTTTCATATCCTGCCACATTTTCTTCTGCAGAGGCTGTTGCAGGAATGTTCCTCACCATGGCTGGCATCACTCTGTGTGTTATAAGCTCCATCACTGACACTGGGAGGAAGAATACGACCCAGAATGTAAGCTAACAGAGATCAGATTAAAGCGACATTCTCCAGGAACTTCAAGTGATTTATACGCTAGGGAGCAATGAAGGCCAAAGCAGAGCTGGCACAGGACTAGAGAGGGCTATTTAGATTCAGACAGCTACTCCATGAAGCGCTGGTCCAGCTGGGAGAATTGTTCCTATATGAACTCAGTGTGAGCTCTGAAAGATTTTCTCTCACACCACGTTGAAGAAGAAGGGGAGGATGGTTCACGCAGGGTTCACCTTAAGGCCAGACACGATGTATGCCACTTGTGTAGAAGTTCCCTCAGTTGTTAACTTTTACTTTTAAGCGCTCTGTTGGCTTGCCGTGTGACTGGAATCTGCATAAATGCTATAGCGACCACATACAATACGACTGGTCCGATAAAAGGGGAAGCATTAAGATGTGACCTCCTGGAACAACGGCAGCATTTTACTGGGGCTGCGTTCTGTTTGCTTAGGGGCGGGCTGGACACAAAAGGGGACAAATTGATGTTAAGTTAGTGCATTCAACTTTTTCCCCCTCCCCCCTCTTCTTCCATGCTGCCTTGTATACATCACTTATTACTAAAGTAGAAATACCTGTATTGTTTTGTTTTTTGAGAATCAAAGGTAAACGTGACTTAATTTGACCGTGTTGTGTGCTCTGTAAAAAAATTAAACAACAGACTGTGTAGAATTCAGAAAAAAAAACACACTGTACATCGTACATACATTTTTTATTACTCACAAAACATCGTATGGACAACTCTGTTACTCTTGCACTTGTGAAGCTTGTGATGTGGCTGTTGTTTTATTAATAAAATGTTGGCAAATAAAAATACCTCCTACTCTGATCTCTGCAATTCAAAATGCATGCAGCGTCGTCAAACATCCCAAAACATAGCTTCTTATGTACACACTGTGAATGTGGAATGTATTGGTTCGTTGAACTACGGCACATTGGATTCACAATGATCCCAGTTTAAAACAGGCTGGACTCATTAAAACAAGACTTTGATTTCCTGCTGTGTTCGTTCACGGTTTGTTCACATTTCTGACTCGTAACATTGTCCAAAAGATAACAACATACATTCTAGTTCTGAACTTGGCTCAACATATCACAGTGACATTATTACCAGTTTTAAAGGTCACATATGATACTCCCTTTTAACCAGTTTAAACAAGTCTCAGAGCTCCTAAGACACATCTGTGAAGATCCACTCCTGATCCTGTATTTGATCATGCCTATAAACCCCTCTATTTCAGCCCTGTTCAGAACAGGCTGTTTCTGTGTCTGTACCTTTAAATATGTAAATGAGCTGTGTCTGACTGTCTCTCTGGAAGGGCTTGGGTGGCTCTGGCTTTCTCGCTCCATGTCCTATTGTTTATGGTGAGAAGGCAGACTCAGAGGGCAGAACAAACACCTAGCTGTGGGAGTGTCACCCACCTGGGGGAAGGGTTACTGCCCTTTGTGATGTCATGAAGGGAAAATCTCCAAACAGCCTGTTTGAGCACACATTTTCTGAAAAGTGGAGCAGGCAGAAGACGGAGAGGATGGACTTTTCTCATAACTGGGGCTGTAGACAGGCTAGAGACACATATTAGTGTTAGAAATACATGGTAAGGGGAATTTTGTATAATATGTGACCCTTAATAAAACATAGACTGACTCATGGGTCATCAGAGGAACAGAAGTCTCGAGGTTATCTGGATGATTTGCTCTCCTCTATAAATGTTTCGTTCTCATCAGCCCTCCTGGTGATGGTTCTGTTCCGCTGCAATCAGCGGGGCGTTCTTCTGAAATTCCTGTTAGAAAAAATGATCAAAACCATCAAAAAAAAGCAATAAATCACACATTTTGCACTCGGTCTGGTTATGATGATGTCAAAAATACCAGTCATTTTCTTTTTTAATTGGATTGGTGTGTATAAACCTGCCTTGTCTTCCCTTTTTATTCCCTGAGAGGTAGACGACGACGGCCTTGAGTTTGTTGACGTCTGCTGCAGTGTCGGCTCCTTTTCAGAAAAGAAATAAAAACACATTGATTTTTGAACATTTTTGATTTAAGCAGTTCTGCTTAAGTAAGCTGCTGCAGGTTGTTTGAAAGCATGTTGGCAGGCTGCTGTGTGTGTAGGTGTGTGTGTGTGTGTACTGTACCAGTATTCCTGCAGCAGACTCCTCAGGCCTGGTTGAGTTTTCTGCCTGTTCCACACCTTCTTGCTCGGGTGACAGCACCTTTAGCGGGACAAAGAAGAAGATCAGCGTCTGAACACATTCATGCAGGACAAGTAAACTGAACCTCTTCATGAGGACAAGTGCATTGTGATGATGTCGATGTACCCACCCACTCATGTATACTGTACCTGCTTTCCATTGTGTTTGTGTGGGTGTTCCCCCTCATTGTGCTGCTCACTCTTTAGGATCTGTGCAAAAGAAGATAAGGTTTTATGTGTTTTTTTTATTTCAACATGCAGAATAGAAATACACCAATGGGGATAAAGTCACATATCAAATATTCATTACTCAGCTGTGTTTACTATAAGCTATGCAAAGGGTGCCATCATGGATCCATCTTCTGGAATCAATAATTTGCTCTTATTTATAACCTTAATGCTGTTTGACCTTGAAAATCAAAGACAGTCTTTTCTTAATATAAAAAGGATTCACAGAGGCCTACCTGCGTTGTGTTTTGCAGAGGATGGGTTTGGTTGTTTAGCTCTTCGTCCTCCACTATTTCTGCAACTCTCTTAAAAAAAAAAAAAGGAGGTCAGTTTTACCTCAGCTACATCAAATCACAGCATATTTAGTCTGCTTTTGTTGTGAGCTGTAGCACTCACCTGGTCAACAGGAAACTCTGTAGCTGTGTTTTCATCTCGTGCACCTCCTCAGCTCCTCGTACCTCCTCTCTTTTCTGCCTTGCTGCCCTTTTGAATACGCTGGACTGGACTGTAATGACGACATATGAAATTGAAAATGAATGCAAAAATAGTAACACACTTTCTGCAAATATAAAAGAACTTAAAATAAGATTCATAAGGATGTGGGATCCGAACCAGATCCATTGCTGAGTGGTGGTCTAGGTGGCCCCCTGTTATGGCGGATCTTCACCGGCCTGGAGAAGAACATGGATGGCTCATCCGCTGCATCTCTCCCGCCGCTCTCTGCTGCTGCGAGGCTGCCGGAGCTGCAGCTTCATCTCCTGTCGACTTCACCCTGCGACCATCCGACTGAAAAACACATGGACATGCCGACGTAAGAGCCCCATCTGCAGAACTCCTCACACTTGTGTATTAACAGTCCTTATTTAGCTCATATAGTGTGATTATAAGATTGTGTTTCTTTACCTCTGGGGAGTCGAGGAGAGCTGAGTCACTGTACTGGTCTTCTGGACCGCTTCCTGCTTTCCTGTTCTAGAAGACACAAACAATACAATGGAACTACGATAGGATATGATATATGTTTCAATTAAATACAGTACTTTAGAATACATTGGAATAAGCAATATACTATGATACGCTGCAATACACGCTCTGAAATTCGATTAGTACATGTGACTGCAACATCCCAACACAAAGTTCTGCCTTATGTCAGTCAGCCTTTTCATACAAGGCCATCAGAGAAAGGAACAACCACTCCCAAGATCTAAAAAGATTTCCAAACTACCACAGTAAAGAATGGATTTTAAGCAATCAGTGTCAGCACTGATCCTGGTAGGTGATAAATAAATAAATGATGATATGACTGGCTACGATACATAATAATATGTGTGATACAATACCACACCATATGATACCGCACCACACTCTGCGATGCAATATACAGGACATTGTTATATGGTGCGATATGATCTGATACGTTGCCATGCATTATGATATAACAGGATATTATACACTAAGATATGATGATATGATACCATTTGACATTATAACACGATGTGATTCAACAAGATACTTTACATTTGATCTTCTAGTCCATATGAAGGCTGTGAGGCTCAAGATCACCAATCAAAGACTTCATAACAAAACATTGAAGGTTAGACACTGAGTACCTCATTTCTCCTTAACAGCCTCCTCTTTCCTTGGTAATATCTACAAGATAAGAAAATGCACAGTCACGTTAAGAAAGTGAGAAATAGATGTACCTGACCGCCTGACGATTCTACATTTATTTAATCAATTAAACGATTATTTTAAAGAGCAGAGCAGAAACCACAGACGCACTCAGACACACATCTTTGCACACACTCACAAAGGAGGACCTTGCGACAACAATACCTCTCTGTCGCTTTTGAAACCAACAGCTCCACATATGGAAGTTTCTTGAACTTCTCAGTTCCCACGGCAACGTAGCAGTGGCCAGTCTCCAGCTCTGCAGCTGAGGCCACAGTCAGTCCTTCCAGGGTGCACAACCTGATAGAGCACAGGGTTTAGAAGAGGGGGCGGGGGAGGGGGAGGGGGGCGTATTTACAGGTCTGTCTCTATTTGTATTCCACACAGTGCATGTGTGTATGTGACCGTGTCACTAACCTGCGGACAGCCCCCGTTCGTAAGCTGACCTTCTCTGTGACCAGACTCAGGATCTGCCCCAGGTCCTGCCGCATGCTCCGAGGAATGATGAATCGGAAGGGTGGACACAGGAGATCTCCATTACGGAAAACACTGTTGAGAGAGTAAAGCTTTTTACACTTTTTGATTCTTTTTTTTTTTTTTTATTGTCTTGTATTAAAACTTACACTGAAATCATTGTAAATGTTCCTCTAGTCCAGACTGGATCAGATATAAGAGACATGGACGGCCCAATGAAAACAATTCTAAGGTTTAGCATTCACACTTTAATGCAAGATTCTCTTTTTGTTTCCCAGTTGAGTTTACTGCTTGGCCTCATTGAGTGATATTAATAAAACATTAACATACAAATCCAAATAAATCATATTTTGATAAACACTTTTTTTTTTTCGCTTAGTGAGATTAAAAAGCAAGATTCACCAAATTTAACACATTTCCTCTTGAGGGGAGTGTAAATGTGTGTACCAGTTCAAGGCAAAACAAACCAACTGTGATCAAGAAAATTCATTGAAATCCATAGATCTGATGTTTTTAGGTGGCTCCAGAAGGAAAATTAAGGGAACAGGACAGTCATCACTGGGAACAATGAATCTTTGTTCCCTTTTTTTTGCAGCTCTGTCTATACATTTTGCAAAATGAAGCTCTGTACAAAGTCTCGTATGAATTTGTCCTGTAGCTGTCCTGATGGCAGTGATGGAATACTTGAAGGGTAGACATTGCTAGGCCACTTGTGAGACTAAACACAGTCAATTTGGAAGGTAATCTTGATGTGGTTGTTGTTGTTTTTCACATTGGACTGCTGGAGCGTCATATTTGCTTTTTCTTTTAAAGTCCAGATGTCATCACGGGCATTAGGGATATGAGGAACTATACGGCTAAATAGCTTTTTTCATCATATACACCATACATGTGAGTGTAAAATCTGAATCTGAATCTCGGCTGTTGATGATTACACTTGTGTGTGTGTGTTTGTACGGGGTAAACAAACTTACTGTAAGATGCAAGGTACAGGTATAAACTTCCTCCATTTGGCTGACACGTTTGGCCTCTGTGTGAGTTTGGCCTGTATACAAAAAAAATAAAATCTCAAGAATAGCAAATCTACAAAACATCAACAACAGCAATAGTGACAACTCCCTCCTCAGATTGACACCGTCCGTTCCCAGTCCTGTTACACATCCATCACTGCAAAATCAGTTATCTCAAATGCATAACAATGACTGATTAACTATTCTGCTCTCGTCAGCTCGAGTGCCACAGACATGGAAAATGACGTCACTCCTAGACCTCTCCGGTGGCAGCACATTCACATGCGACACGCCATGATGTGACAGCTGCTCTCGGAGCTGTAACCCATGATATCCCATATCAATCAAATCTGGAGCCAATATATCCGTGCGTGAAGGACACAATCAAGACTGAAACAGACATTGAATATCCTCCCTTATTGTTTTACTTTGAAGTGTCAGACTCTGAAAGCATTTACAGTGGGGCTCTCTGAGTTGGGTATTAGGCCTGCCCGGGCATGCACACAGCGTGGTGGAGGCAGAACCTTTTGTTTCAGCAAGAGGGATCAAAACCGACTCCCATACGGGCACACTTCCTGCGTCGCTCCACAGCAACCACAACAACACAGGCATGTAAGACTTTAAGAAAACCAAAGAGTACACTTTCTAAATGGCAGACACCCAAAGGCACATGCAACAACTAACTCTCTCCACTCCTGTTTTTATGTTTTTCACAGACGTATAACAGAGAAGGCTTAAGACTTCTTTTTCTGCCAGCTGGTCAGAATATAGAGTGAGCTCTTTTCAGCATGAGTGGCTCTTTGTGTGTGTGTGAAATGAATTCTGTGTGAAGGTTAAGAGCGCTTCAGCCTGCATAATACAACCTTCATCATCATCATGCTCCTCCTTCCTTTCATCGAAAAAAAGGAAAAGATGACAACAAATCCCTTTAAGTTTTTTTTTACTGTCCCATGAGCATTTAAAATGTCACATAGCACCGCCTGAGTGACTGCGGGATGGACAGCTCGATCATTAACCCATTATATCTGGTAATTACCATGACAGCTGGTGACATCACTGGGACGGTGACCACAGAGGTAGACCTGTGCACACCCACAGAGTGCTTCTAATCCATGCTAATGCTAACAATACAACACAATGAGTCATCACAAGTTTAAGGCAAATATGAGATTTTTTTTCTGTCAACCATTTTCATGTTTGACTTGGCACAAAGGTCTAACGGGTGAACTTGTTCCTGCGTGGCGGTGCATTCCTTCTTGGTTAGAGGTGGATTAATGAATGACGTAGCAGTGTGCTGTTGGTCTTAAAAAGAAAGCCGTCCACTTAGAGCTCGCTTTTGCTGGTTAAGAAACAGCCTGAAATGAATACTGATGCCTCTTTTCATGAGCTACTGAAGCAAACAAGACCATCAGAGATACTGCTGACTATTCATGTATGGTTGTTTTTAAGATCTGCAAACTGCTGTCGTCAGGTAGCTGTTGGATCAAGAGATTCACAGAGAGGTGTACGATATGTTTGACTTTTAAAAAAGGTAGCAGGATGAGATTTTTCACAAGTAAAAAAAACTACTTGCACATGTACAGGAAGTGATCAGTAAGATGTAGTGCTTTGGTGTGGCACAAAGTTGACAGAATTACATCTACAGAAGCTTTAGATTAAAAGCCTACCTGGTATTCCTCTCGAGGCACTGGCGGCTTTTTCGCTCCTGTGTGGAGGTAACTAAACATCGAAACAAAAATGTTAATAAAATAGAAACCCCTGTTCCTAAAAAGAAACTGCAAATTAAAACAATCTAATAGGTCGCTTACTCACTCCAGTTTCTTGAACCTCTCGAAGCCAGCAGCCACATACTGGGATCCGGTCTGCAGGTCCTGCAGGTCGGTGACCCTGTGGCCCTGTCTAGGGGTGTACAGGGTCCTGATGGCAAGCGGAGCACCGATGCTCTGGGTCACTTCATTCAGGAAGGCCTCCATGGTGGCCACCTGTCGCTGGTTCACCACAAACCTGCGCCCGTTGTAGAAGGGGTCTCCATTCCTGTACACCACCACGCTCTTCACCGGAGGCAGGACAGTTGTAACTGCTGTGCTGGCAGCCATGTCTGAGCCAGTAGTTACTGTCAGAGTTCACACATATACACACACACACATTTGGAAAGGCTGCAAAGTGTTCTTCAAGCCACACAAATTAAAAAAACACTTTCACTTATTGTTACTTTTTAAATCTTAGCTTTGTATTTACTGGCAATCCTCATTCATATAACATTTCCTTGGTCACACCTTACACAGAAACATGATCTTTGATTCACACACACACACACACATTCTGCTCGACACTCACAAGTCCGACCAGAAGCCAAAGTGAGGAAAAATCGTAGGAGAAAATCAGTCCCTTTTTGGTTGTTGTGGTCGGTCTGGACTCCCACTCACCACGTTCTGCTCTCTCTCTATCCCCCCTCAAACACTCCACTCCACTGACGGCGGTGAGTATTCCCTGGTTGCTATGGCAGCGTGACAGCAATGACTGGCTTTTGTGGGCCAAACCATCAGCAGCAACCACAACAAAAGAGACGGACGGAGGAAGAGAGAATGGGTGGGTCGTGGTTTTGTAAGCTGAAACAAGAAGATAACTCTGGTTGTCTGTATTAAAAAAAACAAAAAAACAGAGTGGTATCCCTTAATTTTTTTTTTAATCCTTTTAATTGCATTTAAAGTGAAAGGCAACCACATTTAAAAGCCTCTTCCCATGGGTGCTCTTGATACCAAGAGGCAACAGCAGCTTCATATAAGTCAGTCATGTGAATATTTGTAGGTTGAACCACTTATGTGATGACTAAGAGTGATCTATGCGCTGTGATCCTGACACAAACTTGTTTAAAGCCAAGGACACCCCCCCTTGAATGAGTCCTCTCCCTAAACGACAGATACAACCTCTACCCCTCCCATTCAATGCAACAAAGACAATATCAGAGCAACCACACATATGAAGACAAAAACGAGCAAGAAGAATCTTTAGAAAAATAATTTATTTATTTATTATAGGAGCAAAAAACATACAAAATGTACAAATTTCATCAAAAGCATGATAGATACATCTAAAGGAATGTATTCACTGTGTAGAAAACAACAGCGTAGACGGACAGATGACACTTGAGTGAGCTTAGGCCTTCAGTTCAGATTACTTCAGCTGTCATGATATGCTCAACTGGCTCTTCAGCGACAAGTACTGTAGAGGAGAAGGAAAACAAAACAAGCGGCAAAACAATCATTATACGTTTGTTTTCCACCAGGTAATTATTTAATATGTGATCGAAACTCCCAGTGGAACTCTACAAAGGTGTCGGATTTTTATTTGGGAAATGCAACGAGTTTCTGTGCACAACTTCAATAAACCCCTGCTGTCCCTGAGTTCACTTCAGGTTTACATCAAGTCCTCGTTGTGCACATTACTCTAACTGGTTGGCACCTTTACGCCCTTTTGGAGCTGCAGGGTACTTCTTGGAAGCAGTGAGGAAGGATTCACGAGGACATTCATTTTGTTAAAAATAAACGAGGGCTTTCAGTTGGTACACAGCCTGATTGTAAAGTGTGGAGGAAGGCGAACATGTGAGGGATGCGAACACGTTAGAGATTTATGCACTTAATACAGAAACTGAAGGAAGACAGGCTGCTGAATCAGAGACACACAATCAGTGCTTGTGAGAATGAGAAGCTGCTGATGCTGCAAACATACAGTGATCATTCTTCCATTATGGATATTTACCATGTAGGTATTTTGTTATGCTATTATACAGATAGTCAAATAAATCCAGTCTTTCAGCAGGAGACTGCCACTGCTGAATAAATGTGAGGAAACACTAATTCTTTCCCTTCCGCCATCTTACCTTTTTCCTGCTGCCAATGGCCTGTTGGAGCCACAGCAGCTCCATGGTCAGGTTGTTCCTATGGAGACGCAGAGCCTCAGGGGTACTGGACACCTCCTGCACAGAGCCATACTGCTGGGGACCTGAAGGAGGGACGGTTAACTCAAGATGACGGCCGAAGTCTTTTCATTTCAGGAGACAAAACAAGTCAAAATGATGTATTACATATTAACACTTTTCTTGGTTCCTGGTAAGTGAAACACTTCAGAATGATTGAAATACAGCACATGTGATGCTATTTCTCCAATCTTACTTTCACTTTCTTGCAGCTTCTCAAACACTTTTATGTTTTTAAGTTAAATCTACTGATGCTGTCAACTGATTTTTGTAAAAAAAAAGCCCTCCATTCAATAATCATCAATTGTTTTTAACATGGATATGTATAGTCCTCCTTCCATCTTCTCATTTAAATCCTTCAATAATTCATCTGTTTATCAGCTATACATTTTGCAGCAAACAAATTTTTTTCAAACCAAACAAAACATTAGCTCCAGCTCCTCCAACATGAAACCTGTCACACTTATAGAACCATATTATTTTGAATGGGAGTGCAAATGGGTGAAGTATCCCTTTAAGTGTACAGGTCTTACCTTTCTGAGAGTCACCATAGTTTGTGTCCAGCTCCAAACTGCTCCAGACAGTGGTTGAGTCTCCTGTGTTCTCCATCACTCCTCCATCTTTATCCCTGTCTATGGTCTGTCTCTGACCCTCCTCGTTCCCCCTGACTGTGCTGCTGGGGATAGAGTCCTTAGTAATGGAGGCATGGCCTTTGGTTTGAGAACCATCTCTCTCAGCTTCTATCTTCTCCAGCAGGACATGATGATCTCCATCCTCTGATAAGGGTGATGATGATGATGATGATAGTCTCTGTAGACTGTCACAGGTGTTTGGTCCTGGATTTGAGGGTCTACTTGCAGCCTCGCAGAGTCGTAGAAACGGCCCGTCCTGTAGAGCAAGAGTAAAGCATGAAAAAGTACAGAGGTTATGATTAAATCTCAGTCACTAACCACCTACTTTCCTGGGAGCTCTTGAGCTCTCTTAGGCTCCTCAAGATCGTTGGTTGACGGCCTGCCAGAACAACCTCCCCACCCCCCTCCCCACCGGATTGTTGATGGACGGCTTGCCTCCCTGCATCCCCTTGCTCCCTATCCCTCTTCCTGCATCTTATCCCATCTCTCCCCCTATCCCTTTCCAAGCCCGGCACAGTCTAGGCCTGTGAAGGCTGTTTCGTCATGAGACGGGGATCCGGCCGAAGATTTCTGCCGTTTAATAAGGCAGTTTTTTCTTACCACTGTAAATTTTGCTGCTTTGCTAAAGTGCTCATGATGGATAGGCTTTGTAATCTTTGTAACATAGCAATAAGTAAGGTCTTTTACATGCTTTTTGTAATGTTAACAGACAAAGAGTAAGGTCTTTTTACCTGCTTTTTGTAATGTTAACAGACAAAGAGTAAGGTCTTTTTACCTGCTTTTTGTAATGTTAACAGACAAAGAGTAAGGTCTTTTTACCTGCTGTTTTGTAAAGTGTCTCGAGATAACACTTGTTATGAGTTGACGCTATACAAATAAAAATTGATTGATTGATTAAATCAAACTCTCACAACAGCAAAAAAGTGACTTACAGTGTCTGTAAAGTGAGGGGAGGGGATGACTGGAGACTCCCTCCACTCTAAATGAACCAAACCTCCATCAATCTCTTCCACGATGTCTTCAAAGTCCTCTTGAGCACGACGGACTTCACGTCTCACTAAGTATCCACGTGCACACGCCTGACAAAGAGAAGAGAGTTACAGTAACCATGGAAACGACAACGTTCTAAATGACGTAAGGAACGTCAACAACTAACGTTACGCCTGACCCGGTCAGCGGACCGTTTTCCCCAAGTTAGCAATCGCAGCTAACTTAACGACAACACAATTGACGGGAATTGCCGAAAGGATAGAAAAAAAACAATTCGGCGGTTTCCGTCTTGAAACTTTCTTTACCTGAAAAAAGGCGAGTATCTTCTCCAACTCGCTCCTGTCCATTGCTATGGTAACATGGCAGCGGAGAGCGGGAGATGAACTCAAACTTTGAAATTAAGTTCCGGGTGATGATGAAACAAAAATAAAAGCCTCTTTGTATAATTTTGAAAATAATTCTTTAACATGTTTAGTTCCATGCTTGTTATTTGTCAGTCAGTAAAATACAGTGACAATTATTACAATCAAAATTGCAAAAAGAAAATGTAAAAAGTAAAACGTAAAACGGTTGTTTCGTAAGGGGTGTTTTATTTTGGCAAATCCGGGCGGAAGTGACCTATTGTTGGTATGCCGGGGGTTCAATTTGTAATGTTGCTGCTACAAACATGGCACTTTTTCTCAAAGTTTTCCACCACAGCGGATGAAAAATGAGCAGTGGTTCAAATCAGAGGACTTTGTTCCAGACGTGGGGGGCAACAGCTCCTCAGAAAAACGTTGTTCAACCGAAGAAAGATGGAAGAAAAGCCGCAGGACGGCGCAAAACAACCCAAAACAACAGTTCACAGGTAGCTCCTACACATCCTGCTCGAAATCCTCTGTGGACTCAGTTTGGACAGGAGCCGGCGTCAACGTCAGAGGACCCGAAACCTGCGTTTGAAGATGAAGACGACGACGATGACTTGATGTTGGTTGCTGTTTATGAAGCTGAAAAAAGCCTGGAACTTGATAACGCAAACTGTCAACATGACAGCAATGCAGGGACAGAGAGCACTGCCCTCTCTCCCATGCCTTCAGGTGGACACACACATCCTGACTTTCCTGGCTTTGACAGCTCCTCTGCTAAAGTATGGATTTACCCCACCAACTATCCCCTCAGGGAGTACCAGCTGAAGATATCAGAGGCTGCCCTGTTTGCAAACTCCCTGGTTTGTCTCCCCACCGGTTTGGGAAAGACTTTTATAGCCTCTGTGGTTATGTACAACTTCTACCGCTGGTATCCATCGGGGAAGATTGTATTCATGGCTCCCACCAAACCTTTGGTGGCACAACAGATCGAGGCCTGCTATAAAGTAATGGGGATCCCCCAGGCGCACATGGCTGAGCTGACAGGTAACAAGCTTGACCCCTTAACACAAATCCATCATCTTTTCTCTTTTGGGCCCGTAACAAGAAAGAGCTCGTCCTTTTTGTCTTGCAGGGAGCACAGCAGCAAAGCAGAGGCAGGAGGTGTGGAGAACCAAGCGGGTCTTCTTCCTAACCCCGCAGGTCATGGTGAACGATCTGTCTAGAGAGAGCTGCCCCGCTCAGCAGATCAAGTGTGTGGTTATCGATGAAGCCCACAAGGCGCTGGGCAACCATGCCTACTGTCAGGTACGGACACAGACACAGACATGCAGTGCAGTCTTATGTCACTCTGAAATATATTAGGCAGTATTTAACTTTACAATTATGGATGTTATCGTGCCATAAAGTGAAGTTAAAAGAATTCCAACACTCGTCAGGCTAATGATAATCCAGCCAAAATATTTCTGCACCAAAAAAAATCTCTTGGGGAGTGACCATAGAATGTAAATATTAATGGACGAAGCCCGAGTGACGTCACCCATCTGTTCCTGCAGGGGGCTCATGAGGCTCACTGGCAGCAGCCGCCATGCTGGAAATCCTGTCTCAGCCTAACGACAGGCTGAGAGCTGAGACGGGTTTGAAGCCTTCTGACAAACTGTTACATCGCGGCAACCTCTCAAACAATGTCAGCTACGCGCCTAACTATGGATAACGCTTATCGTTCATAAAATTAAGACGGATGCGTTATAAAAAACAAATCAGATCCATTTCGTTTTTTTTTTTTAAACCAGGCTGAAAACATGTTAACGTCTGCTGTTTAAGTGGGTTTATGTGATAGTTGTGTGTGTATGTGATTTCCGGGGCTTCAAGTGGTCACTCAACGATCTGCAGGATTTTGCTTTTCCACATTGGCTTAATTTTTTTAAGACCGGAGGTTGGCGCTTGGGAGTGACCGTTAGTATACCTTTCATCTCACTTTGTCTTCATTGCTGAGACGCTGGTGTAAGAACGCATTTCACAGCAAACTACTGCCATGACTGTAGCTAGAACTGAAGCTCAATCATATCATCTTAAAAATCCTATAGGAGCCTCTGTTCACTGTTCAGGTGTTTTGATAGTGAGTGGGACGGCATGATTTGACAAAATCCTGTACCACAAGAAAACTTTACCAATATCGGGTTGGCTCATAAACCATCGTCACCAATGCTGCCAATCAATGTGCACTTTTGTACGATTTCCCCTCAATTTTATGGTTGTTTTTATACGAAAATAGATATTTAATTGATATAACAAAAAGTTTACATAATAATGAAATCTATCAGGTTTTCCATTTAAAAAACACCTAAAACTATTTGTTCAGTACGTGGACTATCCAAAGTGCTATCCAGAGTGCTAACAATGTCCTTCATCTGCTCTTCTTCTCTGTACTTTAGGTCATCAGACAGCTTGCCAGCCAAACTCTGCAGTTTCGCATTTTGGCTCTGAGTGCAACACCGGGGGGAGATACAAAGGTACAAATTCTAAACATGATCTGTTTCTGATGATGTTTTTTGATGATTATTTAATCTAATTCCATTTGTCCTCTCTTATTTCCTGCTCCTACAGTCGGTGCAGTCAGTGATCTCGAACTTGCTCATCTCCCACATCGAGCTGCGTTCAGAAGAGAGTCCGGACATCCAGGCCCATTCGCACCAGCGTAACGTCGAGAAGGTGGTGGTTCCCCTGGGAGAGGCCCTCTCAGCTCAGCAGGCACGCTACCTTCAGGTAGGCACAAGACATTTGTCATATTCAACTTTAACTCCAACCCAGAGTTTTATTTTTTGTGCAAAGAAATGTCTGACATAACAGGCTGCAGTTAGTGGATGTGATGAAAGTCACTTTTTTATACGTCAACGAGTCAAGCACATTGTGTGTGTGTGTGTGTGTGTGTGTTTCTTTCACAAACACACAGCAAAACAGGGAAATTCAAACTGCTTGGTTTAGTGTTGAAACATTCCCCTTTTGTCAATGTTTGATTGCTCCTGTCATATTTTGCAGAGCATGACTCGCTTATCTTTAAAGTGCTTTGCTGCCACCTTGTGGTTTCAGTTTGCTCGCTTCTGTTTGCAAAAAGAAAACCTCAGCTTCAGCCGTCTCCTCAGCATCACATGTCTTTCCCTCTCGCTGTGTGGTTCATACTAGGTCAATTAACATTACATGGATTGATTTCTCTTGAAAGCAGCATCCTGTCACCCTTGGTGGTCGGGCTTTCAATGCTGGATGACTGCATGGGCCTGGATTATTAACACACCCTGCAGGCTCGCTCCCTGTCACGAGTTGACTCACTGTCTGTGTGTATTGTTCTGATAATGTGCAGCTACACTTCATCTCAACCGACTGGAATGTGATATCTATAATTCAAAGTTTAGTCATATTGTCTTAAGCCTCTTTTAGTCTTCTCTTCCTTCCTTCCCTTATGGTCTGTTTTTTATTTATTGTTAGTAATAATAGATCCCTTTGTGCTTGTTGTTCACATTCACCTCATATTATCCTGCTGACCGCATGGCGTCTGCAGCCCACTTGTCAAACACCATTTCCCAATGCGCCCCCTTAATTTGACCAGACGGCACACAAAATAGACACAACAATGTACTCGGGTGTAGAACGAGCATGGCTGCAGTCATTCAGGCAGAACAAAAATGACTGTTGAGAAAATCATAAAAATGAACCAGTCATGCATGTTTTTTTCGGCTGTGTGCTTTTCATTCAATTTTTGGGCCAATTTGATCACAGACATTAGAGAGGATTCACCCACTCAACCACTAAAACTAGCCTCCTCCTGTTGTCCCTGGTCTCAGCTTTGTGATTTTGATTGTGCATGGATGGAGCTGTTATAAATTATGTGTGGAAGTCAGTAAGCATCTAGGCCACTGTGTCCAGGCCTGCGCAGATACATCAGTCATAAAATGATACACTCTGTATCTGATGCTTTAATCTACCACTCAGGTTTTTGTGGCATTCAGTGTAAATTAAATGTCGTTTTTCCCGAAAAAAACAACCAAAAAAAGGTTTGTTTTTTTTCCACTACAGTGCAAAGAATCAGTTGGAAAAATGCACAAAATGTTAAAACATACTTCTCTGTTTTTATATTTAGATTATATTTACCTTTGGCACGGCTGCCAACAAGATGCCATTTAAAAAAAAAAAAATCTATTTTCCTCACAATGATTTCCCCCACATCATTGTATCTGCATCAGACACCATACGCAGTGTTCTGTATGTGCATTAGACTGTAATTGTGATACACTGTCATGTACAGTATGTGTAACCCTATTGTGAGAAACTCATCAGGTTACCAAACTACAGTAACCGAGCACCAGTTCTTCTTGTGAAGTGGAATATGCTGTATATTTCAGAACATAGTAGGGCGTGGACCCCTTTTGTTAGCAACATTCAATATCAGCACGAGGGAGGAATACCCTGTAGAAATATTCTGTGGTAAGTTTGGTACCAACAGATATTCAGTCAGAGATTCCCTTTAATCTTGATCTTGTGCTCTCTTGAAGCTGAAGTGGTTTTCATTAGGGCTCGACTGATATCAATGTTGGGGAGAGAAAGAAATCCTCTATATATATATATATATATATATATATATATACACACACACACACACACACACACACACACACACACACACACACACACACACACACACACACACACACACACACACACATATATATTGGCTGATATCTTTCTTAGATCTGTTCAATCTGTTGAGATAGATAAAGATAGATAAAAGTCAAACCTGAGTAGAGCAGCAGCAGCGTACAAATCAAAACGCTGATGAATGCTTTATGCTGAAACGCTGCTGCTCTACTCAGATTATAAACGATGTTAATCGGCTGACTTTTCTGTTTTCTTGTCAAGTCTTTTTGCAGCCGTGCACCTGAAGATTTGTTACTGTTTGAGAGTGCTCCTTTTTCTGCCGAACAAACCCAATGGAAGATAGGAGACAAGCACATTATTATGGATCAAAGAAATCTATGTTAGCTTAGAGTTTCACAGTTCAGCCCACTTTGCAAAACGCTTAAAAAAGAATGAAAGAAAATGTAAATCCCAGCCTATGAGGTTCTAAGATGACGATACCCTTCACCTGGAGTGCCAGTAAAAGGTCAGGTTTTGGAATGGGGGCAGGATTAGTGGTCTGTTAGTATTAAATTAATTTTGGAGGGGTTGAAAGTTAACAAGGATCCAACCACGAGGGAGTTAATGTGATGTCAAAGTATTTGATACCTGAATTGTAAGGTGTTTGGATGATAGTGTTCAAGTGAAAACCTTCCTTAACAGAGGACCAGTTTCTGATATGGGCTGAGGTTATTTTCTATCAAGATGGTTTCAAAATGAGAGGAGGAGGAAGAGGAAGAAGAAGAGGAGGAGGATTCTCATTTTGATTTGATGTGTCATCTGCATAATGAATGACAATGTGAATTCCACTAGCTAAACTAACAAAGTCACAGTCTTGCCAGAGGCTCCAGTAGGAAAAACAATGGACTGTTTTGGAAGTAATTTGAATAACATGTCAGGATGGATCAGGCCAGTTTGGACATTATCTAGTCTTAACGGCTCAGGTCGTGGCTCTCTCACTATTGTAACTTTCTCAGCCTGATTGTTCTGTAGCTTTTACAGATCGATATAAGATACGTCAACGTTTGAATACCCTTATTTAGGTTTTAAATTTACAGCTGTAAAATGAAATGGTAGAGCGCCGTAGCAAAGGCTGTGAAGCCCTGTGGTTATAAGTATCTAATGACATCTGTTATCTCTTAATGACTAGAAAGCTTACGGAAAAGTAAAAGTGGTTCTTTCTCCTGCTGGTTGATCTGTGGTGCTGACTAGTATTAAGGTGTTGCATTAAAATGCCTGAGTGTCTTTTTTTTCTCTCGGTTGAGTCATCAGCAGAGCATCCAATCTGTTGTAACTGCTCATGTATTAGGACTGAGTACTCCTCTGTTTAGTATATCATGCCAGCACTCTCAGTTTATCATCCTCTATAGTTAGTGTTTGCTTTGCTCTGAATAAGAAGAACTAAGATTTTTGAGAAACATTAATTGTATCCATATTTGTCCAAAGACATGCTCGTTAGGTTATTTGGGCGACTCTAAATTGCCTGTAGGTGTGACTGTGAGTGTGGCTGGTTGTGTAACCCCGCCTCTCGCCCAATGACAGCCCCCCCCCCCCCCCCCCCCCCCCGAACGGATAAAGTGGTATAGATAATGGATGGATGGATGTTGAATTTTAATCAAATCAGCTCTCTAAAGGCCTCCTTTGCTATACCTCCTGAGAGTTGCGATTTTGTCTAAAGGACAAAAGGATCCTTTACCTGAGTGTAGCCTTGGCAGCATTGTGTTAAAATCACGTTATGCATTTCTCCCGTAGAGCTACCACTTACCTCTTTCTCCTCTCACCATATGTCACTCTTTGTCTTTCTTAGCCTCTTTCTCTCCCTCTCTGAGCAAAACTCAACACTCCACCTGCATAATAAAACACACAGCTGTGTGTATTTTTTTATGCAGGAAAGGAAAAGGAATATTTTATGAGCATTGTTATTTAATATGATCATGATCTATAATTCACAAACGTTTGGCCGATTCGACTTAGAACTGAATTTGTTTTCATTTCTTTATATATTGTGTGTCACCATTTAGCTTGAAAAAATATCCAGATATGATTGTTGGTCCGTATCGCCCAACCCTAATAAAAGTAACTGACTGTTAAACATTTTGAATTCGGTCAAATAATGGGACGTCTGATCGCCTAGCGGTTTTGTCATGTACCCAATGTGCAGAGGCTGTAGTCCTTGTTGCAGCGGGCCGTGGGTTCAAATCCGACCTCTGCTATTTGCTGCACGTCATCCCCCACCCTCCCCTCCCACTGTTTCCTGTTTCTCTTCAGCTACTATTAAATAATTAGGTCGATGTATAAGCTAAGAGCGTATGCATATTGTTCTTAAAGTCTATATACGTGCTACCCTTGTGATTTATTCAACATAGCTCCGACCACGAATACCTGATTGATCATGTGACGCTGACAGGACCAGCTTCATTATGTTAGAGTCAAACTAAATGTCAGGGTAGAACTAGTGGATGGTAATATTTTTGAGTTTGTAGTAGGCAGTTAGTATCAGTACTGTAGTTATTGTGAGTTGTAGATGTATTGATAACCACCACATCAGCTAATCTTTTCCTGTAAAACAGAGACTGTAGTACATTTACACTGTTAAAGAATGCTGTGTCAAAAATATGACACATGCCCTCATTAGAATCACACCCCATCAAAACTGACGGGACCTTAATACCACTGAGTCATAGCTCAAGCCTTCTGACAATGTGGGGTCATTAGTATTTGGGGAATATATAATCACTTACATTGCAGTATGACTCTGAATTTCAAACAGAAGCTCGTCCCATTGCACCCCAAACTAAGCTGATCAACAGTGAGTGGCATTAAAACTAGAGATGCACTGATCCGCTTTTTTTGTTCTGATCCGATACGGATATTACTGATTCCAAAATTGTTATCTCATAACTAATAATGTTTTTGTTGTTGTTGTTGTTGTTGTTGGTATTATCAACGTTTAAGGCTACTCAAAGCTGTAGTAAACACAGCATTACATTGCATTGTGCTGGCTTCACATACAAACAGGAAGCAGCAACAGATGTCAGGTTTTTGAAATTAAATCTTTTGATCTGAAGTGTAAGAATTGTACTCTTGAGCATCTGGAAGGAGCTGTTCCATTTCATCTGACCGTTGTCATGGAGACGATCTGTGGACACTTCTTACAGTTCAGTCTGAGCGTCTTCAGAGTGAGACTGTGCGAGGTAATGAGGTTTGAAGTGCCCAACCATCTTTCTTGATCAGTGATGTGGATCGGCACCGTCAGTCCGATATCCGACACGTAAACTACTTCAATATCCCTGGACCTGATACAGATTTAACATCGGATCGTCCCATCTCTAAATAAAACAGCAACTGTTTGTGGATTATGATCATCATCCCTTTTCTTTTGCCACTCCAAAACGAGAAAGAGATGAGGCCCACCAAATTTCAGCAAAGGTTTCCCCTTTTCCCTCTGCCGGTAAGTTGGTTTCCAGCAGAAACACAACCTGGCACTTCTGACATTTATATACCACATTCTCCTTTTCCATTGGGGGGGGGGTCAAGACCTGGGACATGCCCTGTCATTAGCTCTACACCCAACATAAAGGGGGGGGGGGCGTTATGGATCAAATATGAACATTTAGATTTGATTGAGTTCTAAAACCTTTAACTGAAGCTGCCATCACCAAGCAAAAGACAGGAACAAAAAAAGCTGAATTCAAAGAAATACAAATTAACCAAATCCGGGGTGACTGAAATTTTTATTTTAAAATATAGTGAAGACATACACAAACATACTTCTTTCACTCTGAATTAATAGACTCTCATTAGATTGGTGATAAAACATTAAAAACTGTATTTAACTAGAACAGAATTGAGCTTTCTTCTATTAAAAAAAAAAGAGAGTATGATCACAAAAGAGATATTCTCTGTGCTCTTATCTTTTCTTGGATGCATCGCCTCTACTCAGCAACAGTGGCATATGAATGAGTGAATGCATACTACCTAACATTGACACAGTAACGAGTAGAAAGACCATGAAAAAGAGGTACAAAGGTAACTATTCCTGTGTGTGTGAACTGACTGGAAATATGAGGAATGCATTGATTGGAATATATTCTTCCATACACAAAAGGATGTGTGTAGTATCATATTTTCATGATTGTCATTCAGCAGTAAAATCAGGGAGTTTTTTTTTCCAGATGTAGGTTTATAGACATGTGGCGCCTGTTATTACCTGCTCCTGTAACTCTACATTCATGAACAAACACCCGGGAACACGTCGTGTTCATAGGTGTTTGTTTTTTCTAAATTCAGGCTTTGTTCAGACTCCGTGATAAAAGCGTCTCTCAGACCGGGTGACGTCCTTCTGTAGGTAGTATCTGAAATATTTTGACAGTGCAATCACCTGGAGGGCGTGAAGAAGGATACGCACTTCACCAGTGAATGCCCCTGCTGATGCCTATCTCGTTGTCATGGCAACTCATGGAGATAGTTTGGTGATATCTGGATCTTATCTCACCGGTTAAAAAAAAACAAAAAACACCAGTGTAGACAGCCTGTCCATGCGATCCAATTAAAGCAACAAATCTGATTTGTTTTCCGTCTGAACAAAGCCTAAGTGTCACCTATTGTGTTCAGCTTATTGATGGGGAAAGCCACCAATTTCATCTGGATGTTGCAGGTTGATTGGCTTGTGTTGCACGCTGCACATCCCCCCCCCCTCCCTAACCCACCATGTCAGCCACTTGACTGCCTTAAGATCGGGTTAGGTAAGAGGCCAAGGAACTGTGACAACTGTGGGTAGTCTGGCATATATTGCACTTATTGTTGAAACAAAGAAATGATGCAGTGCCACATGGATCACATAGACTTTGAACAAATAGTGAATAATGCAATCCAGATAGAAAGAAAACAGTGGATCAACATTGACATGAAATCACCTCAGCAAGCAAAAGAACAACTGAGATTTTTAGGTTTTTTTTCTGTTGTGCATTGACTTTCACCCCACAAGACAGAAACACTGTAGCTCTGCAGCATAACAGAGAAGGGAGCATATAGATAAGGCTGCATGTTCACCTGCTCCTGCTGCGGCAAGACAGGCTTGTTGCACTTTTCTGACACCAATCAAAGGTCACTATGTTCACAAAGCGCTGAGAGATAAAACATTTCAACTTTTATAACAAGAGGACAATGTGGGTAAGGGTTGGGATTTTTTTTTTTTATGGAGATGAATGCTATGCTTGTCTTTAGCATCTGGTCGTGTCTGTGAGAGCGTGTCAGTTCAGTTCTCATGGGTGAAACGAGGATACGTCTTTAATGAGCATGAATGAAGATTCAGTGAGAGTAAAGCTAAGGGCAGAATTTGTTTTTTTTATTATTCCAAGCCCAAACTGATCTGGAGTGTGATGGGCTGGTGGTGGTCACTGCAGGTAGAGGTGGTGACTAAAAGAAGGATGTTGCACCTGAGGCTGTAGCTGAGCTGCGGCAGTGTTAAGGGAGTCTTTAATGAGGCTTAAGGGTCATAAGATAGGAGGCTGCTTAATCCTCTGGTCCATTAGGGTCGTTCGAGGAACCAGATCTCGTTCTGCCGGTTGCTGTGAGCCGGGTTGGTGTAGCCGGCCACGATGAATGAGTCGTTGACGCACACGCCCGGGGAGTCCAGCAGCTCAGCCATGGCGCTGATCTGATCAATGATGGTCACTTCATTGGTGGGGCCGGTAAAGGGCCTGGAAGAAGCAGGGAGTGGTGCATTGGTATCAGGCATCAAGAGATATATTAAATTAAAGCATTGTACACATCCTTTTTCTCCACTGACCTTGTGTATACAGTAGTGGCAGGCCAGATCTCTATGACGATTTCGTTGTCAGTAGGCTGTGGGGGCTGGGCCTGATGGTAATCAGGAAGGAAATAAGCCACAGTGACGTCATGGGACATCGCAGAATGGGTCTCATTGGTGCGCACCACTGTGACGATGGGGAGCGTCATGCCCAGGTAGTCGCCTAAAGATGTGAGAAGGAAAATAGTAAATATCCTCTTATGTGTGAGACTGGCTTGGATTGGAGGTGGTCAACAATTGAAAAGAAAAACAAGGCTAAGAATTTAGCGCCTGTGTTAAATGGTCCCATGCTTTCTTTCTTACCTAAGGAGTTCTGCTGGCAGATGTATCTCATTATCCTCATAAAACCATAGCAGATGCTCTGTTCATAAGTGTCCTCACGCATTGTTATACAAGCCCAGCGGCCCTTTTCGTATTGACGTTTCTCATACAGCAGCTCCCCACACTGAAAAAAGCACAAATGACGACAGACAGGACAACACTGAGTTACAAATTTAGGTACTCATGATACTGTGTTAAATTGAATTAAGACTTCTTATGAAACAGTTGTCTGTAACGTTTGGTTTTATAACTGCAGTGAGGATGCCAGCCAAATATTCTGACTACTAACTGGAAAGCTAAACGCTGTCTAGAAAATGTGTAAAAAAAAGGCATCCCACACACTCTGCTGCTTACAATCATTCAGAATGTACAGTGTTTTGGCCTCGTGAGTGCAGTCAGGAAGTGACATGAAGCTCTTTTTATTTTTTTTTCGGCTCACATTTACAAAAAGGAGATGTTATGCAACCGTTGGTGAATCTCTGTCTATCCTGCTTAAACAGATATCGGACTCTCAGTACATTTTTCCTTTACTTGTTAGTTGTTAGTTTATCACAGTGCTTCCAACTGGTAATGTAGACCTGAAATAGTGATCCAAATAATACTCACATCTGGCATTCAACAAGTATTTTATATTTGATTGTATTGATTACAATCTTGATTGCAACTAAAATTGCACATCATTTTAGTTGACGAAAATAGAAGATATTTTAGTCAACAAAATCAGACGCGAGCTTTTATTTTTATTATCAGAAGCTCCAGGGGGCGGGGCTTCACAGATCTGCAGGCTCCAGGCTGCACATTGTTGCACTCACCACACACGCACACCTTTGATAAAGTATGCTATGGTTTACAATGATTTTAAAACAGCTGAGGGGGTACGTGATAATCCTCACTTGTAATGTAGTTTTCGTTTTGTCACGTTTTTCGTCAATTAGATGATGAAGTAATATTGTTTATCAAATTGTCAAATAGCGGAGTTTCGTCTCGTCATCGTCATAGTTGACTAATTTAAAAAGACCTTCGTCGATTAACACTGCTCTACTCGTTCCCCTGAGTGCTTTGTGTTTATATGTTATCCTTCCTACTTTCTCAGTTTACGTTGTTAATTGGAAATCACTGAAAAATAACTGCCGAAAGATTACAACACTGCTATCTTGTGGTCAAAGTTTGAAACAACTTAAAATGTAACCACTACGAGGATTATTTATTTATTAAATATGGACAGTGTTGTTGTCAATCGGTGCAGTATGGCGATACTAGAGTTGCCATCGCTGTAAGTCTGCTCACTGTGTACGTGCTGTCCTTAAACAAGGCACTGAAAGCGTCTCTAAGAATAGGGTGCCATGTCCTTTGTTTAACCGCCGTCTCCCGCCAAGTTCTATGGACTAATTAACTCTAGTTAAACCAATTAGCCCTGTTTATTTATATGTTCCCCTAAGGAGTTTATACGGCTTACTGTATTGGATTTTACCCACCATCTAGTGGAAAATAATGGGAGACGGCAGACCCAATGCCCTCACAACTAGATCTGTATATGATCACATTGTGATAATGATGCACTTCATGTTCCTCATTGATACGTCTTGAGAGGCTGAGTTATTGTTTTTTATGCGACCCAACGTTGTTTTTTTATCAGCTGCTGCATGTTGGACATTGTGCCATCTTTATGAGATTCAGTTATTCAGCAATTGACTGTCCTTTTGTGTTGGCTGCTGCTCTATACTCTGAATAGGTCGTCATGTAAGAGCTCAATTTGCAGTTCAGGTCTTTGGTGCAAAAACCATGACTCCATATAAATCTAGGTCTGCAAACCAATTTATATATTTTAGCGTTCATAAAGAAATCGAAACGAAATAAAACAAAGAGTGGATTATGAGTGCGGAGAGCATATGGATTATTTGTCAGGGTGGAAGAAGTGTGATAGATACCTTCTCCTTGCGCCCGAGCAGAGTGAAAGGGATGAGTTGTCTCTGACTGCGTCCTTGGTTGTTGGAGGTGAGCTGTTGAATGGGCTCGGCCATATCTGTCAAAAAAAGCAAACATCACGTGGTGAGTTCAAAAAGTGGTCCGCAAGAGAAGAGCATTCTTAGAAGTGCAAACAAATGAGCGGGCATTTGCTTGTTTTTTCTTTCATGCTTCCTTCCCTCTGAACAAAAAAGCAATATTGTTTTCTTGACGCGCTGTGTTTTGAGGCAATTCAAGTTTATTATTAGAGCACAAGCTACCAGTGACCTCCATATTATTTCAACATACTTACAGTACATAGTACAACACAAACAGGTTGTCCATACCATATGAATGTATTTACCTCACATCATATCTACACTTTGCAGTCCCCCTGAGTCTAATCTGGAGCAAACATTTTCAATTCCAGTAATCTGCTGGCAGGCAGGGTTGGTAGTTTGTTTGAGAAAAGGCTGCCAGATGGGCAGAGCGCTGTGCCAGGATGTCGCAGAGAGTAATGTTTATTGGAGCTGATGGAGAGAACACTGACTAAAGCTGCCCAAGGCTACATATAGACTGGAATTAACAGAGAGGAACTCCAGCAGTAGCCAATTTCTTATTGAAACAGTGGGAGAATTTTTTACCTATAAACAAATCTTTTGTCTTCAGCAGCCTCAAAGTTTTGACAGTTGTATTTGTTTTTAAAGCAATCACTACACCACCTTTACTAACTTTAGGATTTTAACCCGGTTTATCTTAGATATGTGCTTTAGGGGCCGTCAGCCACACCGACATCATTTGCATCAAATCAAAACAGACTCTCATGACAGCCCGTGTTGTCCTGTGTTTTTATGTTTTTTAACATAAATGTGCAAGTCACTTAAGGTGAACCCATTTCAGTTACATTGTGTTAATCAATACCGTGGGGGGGGGGGGGTGGGGGGGACTGGGTCAGCAGGACCTGCGGTATTTAGGCGATCAATCATATGGCAACAGACTCAGCTGCAGATTGGCGAGCGTGTTGACAGTGTGGCTATCTCATGAACTCAAGGTTACACTGTAATTAACTGATTACAATGGAGGAGAGGCTCCTGCGCGGATAATGATCATGACAGGAAAATATCACCTGCCAGTTTTATTTAGTGCATGTACCCCAAATAAAAAGAAAGCTGCTGCTAAAACCGGGTTATCAACACATACAGGCACACCCCTGGCAAACTCATCCGTTTCCATGGCAGCATCAGGCGCTCGGTGTTGACGCAGGACAGTCAACACTGAGCACACGGTCAACACACACGCACTTGTTTTTTTTTTTTTTTTACCTTAGCTTTCAGATCAATACAAGTAGTCACGTACCACTTTCAGTCTGGCTTCTTTCCCACTAACCTCAATGTTCTTTTTTTAAACATTATTTTAAGATGTTCTTTTTTTGTAATCTGCTCTTTCACAGCTATGCTCCACATGAGGTTCACCATCTTCCTTTAAAGACAGCTCCATCATACTCTACAGTGTCAGAGCCTTTCAAACAAGTTGGCAGAGACACAGTAAACAGTGCCAGGACGGGGGCTGGTGGTGTCAACAACGTCTGATAGGTAGACCCGGCCTACAACAATAATATGTATTTGGAGGGGGCGGTATACAGAACACAGAAATACTCTCGTTTTGGTGTTCATCAATCTGGTTCACAATATGAGAAAAGGTCAGCATTGTCACATCAGATTATTATGGAAAGATGAGCTTGCATTTATGTAAGTTACGTTCTGGCAGAAAAATACTTTTTTAAAAATAAGTTTTTTAGCTCCTCGGGTGTTCTGAGTCGTGTTTATGAAGCGAGATAAAGACTGGATGAGTTTTATTCATTATCCGTTCAGTTTAGTTTTTCACTGATGTAAAAGCTATAAAACACGGATCTATCTTGTGTGTGTGTACAACCTAGAGTTGTGATTTCCAAAGTGGGGTGCTATAGGGGTCCCGGAGATATGACGGGGGGGCCCCAACGAGGCTTAAAACGTTTTGCACCGGCACCTTTTGAGAGAGGACTTCCAGGTAAACGAAAGGCTCAAAATGAATCTCCGGACATCACAAAATCTGAAACATCATTACACTATCACTTTTAAGTTCTTCCGCTTTTAAACTGCTTGTTTTTTTTAGTTCGTTGTCACACACTGGACCGCTCTTCAGTACGTTTTGCAGCCAGTGTTTGAGATAATTTTAAAAAACAAAAAAAACGGGGGGTTTTGTTAGCCAAAAGCGTAACTGACAGTGTAAGTTGATATACTACATGTTGATTGGATAGTAAGGGGTTAGGAGACTTGAAAATATTTTCATCTGCCAAAGGGTAAGGGGGGGGGGGGGCCCAGCAGGAAAAATTTTGGGCACCACTGACCTAGACGATCTTCACGTGTCTTCATCGAGTTGACGGTTTCTGCTCCTCTGACCGCAACGAAATCAAAGATGGTGGAAATCGGGTTCTTTAGAATATTTTGAGAACAACAAATAGATACTATAAATAGATCATAAAATAAAACAGGTTTAGGTGGCTCTGAAGAGCACTGTTAGCTGCAAGTCACAATGACACTTGTTGCCATGGATACCAAAATAGAATGGTACCTCCGTATGATTTTTTTTTTTTAATGTAAATGTTTTGGCAGCAAAGGTGAAATGAAGGTGTTCAGACAGTGTCGTTTAAGCTAACATTAACTAATTAAAAGGGATCCTGCTGCTGGCTAAGCAGAGCTCCCACCTCACGACTGTCCTTCCCACTCCATCTCAATTAGAGCAAAGAAGTTTAATGTGGCCTTGGCCTGTGTACTTAGCCGCCACGGTCCTGCAGTCCAGGATTTAGCCAGAGCCTCTGTACCAGTACAGGCAAGGTAACTAATCCCCCCGCTGAGTCAGTCAAAGCTCAAGCAAGCGGTTTGAACTAAGTCCTCAATTAGTGCAGAGGGAGGAGGACATGCCAGCCTGTGTTACTGGATTCTCAGTGGGCAACCTGTTGGAGGACAGATTGCCCAATCAGGTGGTTTTAAACTCGGGCTCAGGACGCACAAAGCGGTTGGATAGTCCAAAGAAATGTACTCTTCACTAAATTGTTTTAATTTCCTTCTCACAATTCAAATTTCTTTGTAAAATGCTGCAACTTTTTCACCTGTCAAATATCTAAAAAGTTCTGTCTTTTGGCCAACTTTGTTTGATGCAAAAAAAAAAAATGGCCTTGGTTGAAAAAGATCACGGCTTGAATACAAATCGAGTGAGTGCTACATTTCAAAGAAACACACACACCACAAAAGGTTGGTAAAAGTATCACAGCAAGCACAAGTTGAGCTAATAAAAAGGGCTCACTGTGTTTACTGTTTTATGATCTACAGTGAGGAGTTCGATATTTGACATGGCATTTTATTGCTGTGAAGGGGAAATTAAACTCTCATGTTAAACTTTAACTCCTATCAATGGTTGCATTGTTCGGCGCTTTGTATCCTATATTAGTGATTAGCAGTAACCTGAAGGGTGCCATAGTTCAAAACAAACAGAGTTGTTGTTGTTTCCAGCCTTTTCTGGATTTGCACGTCGACAAAAGCGATCACTGATTTTAAAGCAACAACAACAAAATTCAACTCAGATTCTCCTGAATTGTGTTCGTATGGTAACAGAATTTGCAGGTAGACCCTTGGTGATATCAGCAGCTAAGGTCAAGATAGTGGATTAGTCTATTGGATGCCATCTTTTTTTAGTTCAGGGGTCACAAAGCGCTAGAGTGTCCTGTCTGCATTTCCGACATCTTGCAGCAAGTGGATGCACACACATGCACATACCAGCTTGTGAATATTAGAAGCAGCAAATGTTTATAATATAAACCTTTTTTTTTTTTACCTTACCTTTCATAGGGATTTTTTGGGGGTTTATTTTGTCTTGAATTTGAACGGATTTCAGTGAAAATGATGCTGGTTATCTATTTCCTTTATAAAAGGGCAATTTCGCAGAGGAAACGGTTGGATACATGTTTGTCATGAAATAGTAAATAGTCATACTTTCATTTTACAATGAGGCACTCTCAAAAAACAGAGTAAAGTACGTCATTTTATTTTCCTTCAAGGAGTTCTTCTTCTACTCCTGTGATCGTTTTCTTTTTTATTATGTCCACGATGTTCTCCTTCATGGCTCATAGTATTAACAACACCATTAGATACAGTGTGGACTGGATCTGAATCTTAACTGTGCCTTACAAAACATTTATTTTCCAGACTTGAAGACATGCTGCGAGTTGAAATACAAACCTTTTCCTAACACCTCCTGCTTTCTGGGAAAGAGCATGAAGTGCGCCAGAGGATTTTTCCCAGTTGAATCGACTTATGGAAATATTTATGCCATTGACAACAGACCCCTTATTTCCACTAAAAAAAAAAAAAAATTGTGGTAGGATATCGATAGACAAAATGCACTAGCAGTCTGCAGTATGTTCCCAAATTTTTAAGAGGAACAGCCACTAAAATAATCCTCTTAACATTGTTATTTTTTTTTTTTTATTCCTCATCTTTTAGGGATTTAACTCAAATCCTAGGAAGTCACACAAGCCTGTGTATCTTGTTGTTCCTGTCATATAATAGTGTGTGCCTTCAAATTACAACAGGTCTTTATACTAGAATCCTTAGTTGAACTTCAAAGCATTCATTTGTTTGGAAATATTAAGTAATAGTTGAGACTTATGGCCTGGAGAGCACAGGCATGTTTCCCCAACTGGATCTGGTTTATCTGTTTGCCTCGCTGGAAACTAGGTCAATGTTCACGGTAATATCCAATGAGGAAGTTTAGTCAAAGTACATTCCCTCAAGTCAAACAGGTCTTTTAGTTGTAGAAGGAAACTTCACCTGTGAGTTAATATTCACACAAAAAGCAGAATCCTGCAACATGCGGAGGGGGCTCAAACTCCAGTTATATTTCAAGCATTTTTAGTCACAAAGTGCGTTACACAGCATGTCTGATTTTTTTTATTATTATTATTATTATTATTTGTATTTATTTTTTTTACCTTGAGCAACTTCCACTTGGTGTCCCCTCGCCACGTCCTGCCAGTAATGCAGCAGTCGGTCTTGATTTTCCTCGTCCTCCATGGTTTCTCCCTCTTCTTCGAGGCTACCGTTGCCCGAGTCTGACAGCTGTTCCTCCGAGAAAGACTCCAGGTCCTCCAGCGTGATCATCCCGTGTTGCTCGGGCCCGCTCCGGTCACCACCGCCATTCATCTGACAGCCACCTCGGTCCATTTCTTTGCCCTGAGACTTATACCTACCGATTGGAAATTACTTAAAGATGGACTAATAATAATAATTAAAAAAAACTAAAATTAATTATGAATCCTCGCTAAGTGTGCGCTTCGTTTGAATCTTCTTCGGTTAGTCGCGCGTCCAGATAAGGACAGGCGTTACTTTCTGGTCAACAAAGCGCACATCACCAAGCTTCCCTCGAGATTTTTTGCCATATTCATACTCACAACGTCTTATAGCTTTTTAATGAGCCATAATCCTTCGACGGTTGCACTTTTTATTCGACAAAAAAAAAAACAACAAGAAAAGAAGTCGCCTTCTTCGCCTGCGCGAAGCCGACTGACGCCTCCCTCTTTGTAGCCGGAGGTGAACGATGTTTACAGGAGAGGAGGGCGGACCACGTGACGTTGCGGGAACCCACTAGCCCCCTCCTCTTCCTGTTGCTGAGATTATTAGAGGTAATACCCGAGACCTCCACCAGGGTACACGCAATAGTATGATGAGACAATCCTTAGACGACGTCAACAACAACAACAACAAGAGGGTTGAAGTCAGTGTAGTTGTAGTCAGCTGTAGTTTTATTTCATAACTCTACCTCTGATGTGTGAACATAAGAGATCATTTGTCATGTGCTGTAGCCTGAGGTGCAATTAATGATTGCTATGAACAGAGGTTCACCTTTAGATTGTTTTCTTCTTGAATTGTTTAGCATTAGAAGTATAATACCTCCTATAGAAAATTAAAAAAAATGTCCTCAAGGTACAAGGTGACATGTAAAACTAAAGAAGCGACAGTCTTTAACATTTTATGTTTTATGCACAAAACAAAATCTTCCAAAGGTGACTTCTAACACTGAAAATATAGTTTTATATTTACACATGAGCTTTTTAAGCCAATAAGCTTTCTTAAAAAAAACAAAAGCTTCCATATGTATTATTTAAAAAAAAAGGAAATTGCACATTATTCCTTTATTTTGATAAGGTGTTAGTTTTTTAACAAATAAGTAAAAAATAAATGGTTTCTCATTTTTTATAATTTGTTTTGCCCTAGAATTATTTTTTCTGATTCTTTAATTTACCCAAATATTACTCGTATTAGAAGTATCTGTTCCCCCACTGTGAATCACTTTGTTTTGACACACTTTATGCTTTTTTAAATTACTTTAAGACATTTTTCGTTCATTAATTATAAGTTATATCAATAACAACCAGGTCAAAATCTTTAACCTTTCAATCTATAGCACCAATTTCCCTCATACCGGTCATTGTCAGTTTTTTTTGTTTTTTTTAGTCACAGTCACACTCTGTGTTTAACAGTGCATTTAGATATATTTGTATACAGATCCTTAAAGAAAAGGATGAAAGTCACAGAGTGATAGAGGGCAACAGGGAGTGAGATAAGTGTGTTTGTGCGTCATAGACTTTAGTGTTGCATGTATCGTTGCACATGACTCACTTTGTAAAAGTATCATGAATACAGACACACTGAAGGTTCCCTTTAAGTGATGTGCACAAAAACACAAAAGAACCAGACAAATAGTGATAAGGATGCAATAAAAAAATATATGTGCATCTTTTTTATTGTTGATTTTTTTTTTTTTTGTCAGGATTCCACTATTTTTTGGGGCGTTGATTTGGGACACAAAAAAAAAAATCCTTTTCAAGGATAAAACACAGATTTGAACTTGTGTGCTATTGGGACAGCCTAAACAGGATTTCCTTTGATCCGTGTCGCTGCAACAGCCAGCCACCATGTTGCACCCTTCAACACGCACGTAGAGGAGAGATTATGTAATCATCTGTGTGTGGGGGAGTCTCTATGTAAATACACACATGCCGTGATACACACATCCTACAATACACTACAGGGATCTAATAGGCCCCCCTGTCTGGCTGTATTCACTCTAGCACTTATCATCTCAAATCATTTCTTTGCTTGTTGTTTTTGTCTGGACTTTTTTTTTTTTAATTGACTGACAGCCACATATAATTATATAATCCTGTAATAATTATAATCCTTACAGCCACAGAGTGACTCATTTAGATTCATGATAGCCGTAAAATAAAAAACCCTTGCAGCACTAATTACGAACCATATTGATGTTACCACACGTTACTTAATCATAGCAAATAGTCGTTCTCTTCTTATACACTGTATGTCCTCATAACTTTAAATGACGACAGAGCAACACAACAGTCCTCCATTGTTGACATGCAGGAGTGCGAGTTCAGCTAAGAGGAGGTTCTGTTATTAATAGCTGCCTATAGACTAGCTTTTTCATCGAATCCCCCGTCATGTAGCTCCATGGCCCTCATCCAATCAATTTTAGGCCCTTTCTGAGCATGCTCAGCAGACAATTTCTCCTCTCCTCTCCTCTTTTCTCCTTCCTCTCCTCTCCTCTTTTCGCCTCTTTTCTCCTCCCCCCTCCTCTCCTCTTTTCTCCTCTCCTCTCCCTCTCTTTTCTCCCTCTTCTCCTCTTTTCTCCTCTCCTCTCCTTCTCTTTTCTCCCTCTTCTCCTCTTTTCTCCCTCCTCTCCTCTCCTCCTTTCTCCTCTCCTCTCTGTTCTCCTCCCCTCTCCTCTCCTCTCATTTTCTCCTCTCCTCTCCTCTTTTCTCCCTCTTCTCCTCTTTTCTCCTCTTTTCTCCTCTCCTCTCCTTCTCTTTTCTCCCTCTTCTCCTCTTTTCTCCTCTCCTCTCTGTTCTCCTCCCCTCTCCTCTCCTCTCCTCTCATTTTCTCCTCTCCTCTCCTCTCCTCTCATTTTCTCCTCTCCTCTCCTCTCCTCTTTTCTCCCTCTTCTCCTCTTTTCTCCTCTCCTCTCCTTCTCTTTTCTCCCTCTTCTCCTCTTTTCTCCCTCCTCTCCTCTCCTCTCCTCTCCTTCTCTTTTCTCCCTCTTCTCTTTTCTCCTCCTCTCTGTTCTCCTCCCCTCTCCTCTCATTTTCTCCTCTCCTCTCCTCTCCTCTTTTCTCCCTCTTCTCTCCTCTTTCCTCTCTCCTCTCTCCTCTCTCCTCTGTCTTTTGTCTATTAAAAATGGTTCCAACTTTTTTCACAGTGTAGTAAATTGGAAGTCTTTTTTTTTTGATTGGCGAAAACACAGGTAAAAAGTATATACAATCTTTACAATATAATTCCAATATAATCTTCGCTACAGAGTACAGCCCTCTTTCAAAGTATTGGAAAGCCGCAAATAATAAAACTGGAAGCAAGCATAACTACAGTTCCAATGAGATTGTATGTTTCTGCACATTGAATCAATTCACTCCACATTTCAACTAGACAAAAAAAGCAACCTCGCTAATCTGGTTCAGTGTAATCTCATAATCTGGTCCTGACCACTGCCAGCACATTCCCTTTATTGAACTCCACCTGTCAATTAACGAGAGAGAGAGAGAGAGAGAGAGAGAGAGAGAGAGAGAGAGAGAGAGCCTGTGTCTTGTAACCAGATGGTGGTCCTTTCTCTCAGCGCTGTCTGCTGCTCTCTGACACACACATGCACATTATTAGGTTTAGTGAACACACTGCAGAAGGTTAAGGAGATGAGAAGACTTTGATTTGATTGTTCAACCTTTATCTATAAACTAATGAAACTGTAATTATTAAGAAGTCAGGCAACATAATATCTGATAATAACTCAGGTAACACAGGCAACTTAGGTAGTGTACTCCATCCATACCAACCTTATCCAAAAAGGCTCCTATTTTTCTCTTCTATTACCTGTGGGGAAAAGATGGTGGCAGCCGAAAGGTCAAACTCAAGGCTTCAAAACATGAAGCCAAACCTGTCTCTCTCTTCTTTTAAACAGTCTCTACTCTTAACCAGTTAGACGGGAAAATAAAAGACTTTTAGATGAAAGATTAAAGACAAATGCATTGATGTTACTGTATGCGATTAGTAGAATGAAATGCTAACCATGTTGGATTGAATTTTGTTTTTAACCCAATTCAGACTTCCTGTTCAAGGTGCACTATATAGTATATTTATGCCCCTTTGACGACTTGAATCCCATAGCCTGTGAATGTTCCTCACAGACTGAGACACCATTATTGCGCTGTTGTAAAATCAAATCTAATGTGCTAAAAATGGGGTAATGACGGCAGAGCTTCTTTTTGCGGAGTCACACTCTGAAAAGAGCTATTGACTGTTGTGTTTTGTAATAACTGAAATTTGATTGGTGGTGCGAGATGGAAAACCAAGACTGGTGAGCAGATTAGTATGAAAAAAATGTCATTCCATTAAACATTTGTTGCCTGACCTTTATGATTTACAAGTTAGAACCACACCTCAAGACATTTGATAGGTTTTATTATTGTAATTATTTCAAACTTCCTTCTCAGACTTAACAACTACCACTAATTTGCTTCTCCAAAGAAGGATTAATAACAGCGAGTTTGAAAACCTGCACAATGTTTTTAAGTGACAGTTAGTGTTGTAATCAAACTAAGGAGAAGGACATCTCTCATTTCACATAAACCCATTCAATGGACATGTTAGGTCACAATACAAGCACACATAATATCTGGTCCCTGCTGGCTGGTTGGTACCATCTGTCGCTGATGGTCAACGATAAGGCTGAAGGAGGACATTAATTGAGTCACATTTGGATTCATTTAACTCTTGATTCCCTCCATTTTCCTGATCCTCTTATGTAACCTTGGTGGATTCGCATGACAATCAATCAGTCTCTATTTGTATAGCGCCACTTCACAACAAATGTTATCTCAAGACACTTTTAAAAAGAGCAGGTAAAAGACCATTCTCTTTGTTTTGTTATCTACAGAGACACGACTTTAATCCATCGTGAGCACTGCTCTAAGCAACATTTAGGAAAGTTACAGACTCATGATGAACAGACGAAACTGTGTTGGGCTTGGAAGGTGGGATAGCAGAAAGAAGAAGGATGGAGACCAACAGAGCAACAACATGTAATATTTATAATGATAAGGATATAATATTTATGATAATAGATGTAAAAGGCTAATATTAGCTGTGGTAGCACTTGGAGTCGCCAGGGGTGGGCGGTCCATCGCAGCAGGCCATCCCCACCAGCGATCCAGAAGATCTCAGGAAGATATTCTGGTCCATACCTGAGCCGGACTTTAACTATAAGCTTTAACCAAAAAGGAAAGTGACTGGTGGATGATTCTAAAGTAGAGCGGTCTGATAGCTGAAGACTCTACCTCCCATAGTGCGTTTAGTGACTGAAGGTACCACGAGCAGGGCTGCATTCTGGGAGCGTAATATGTCTCCATTAGCTCGAAGATGGTGCCTTGGCCGTGAAGAGCTTTGTAAGTGAGAAGAAGGACTTTAAATCATATTGTAGATTAACATTTTGGACCAGCTGAAGAGTCTTTAGAGACTTACTAGGGCAGCCTGATTAAAGAGAATTACAATAATCCAACCTGTTGTTGACAAATGCATGAACTAGTTTTTCTGCATCGACGTGCAAATGGCTGATTTTAGATATGTCACAAAGGTGAAAATAGGCTGTTCTTGAAATTTGTTTTATGTGGGAGTTGAAGGACATATCTACACTACTGAAAATTGAATTAAAATGTTTTGGCAGATCGGGCTTGGAATCATCCTGGTGACTTTTTCTGTCGGGCGGGAGGTTAGGGGGATCTCAGAAGACCAGATTTGGTGTGAAAAGTACCACATGGATTCATGGAAGTGGGTGACAAAGCAACGGAGTCTGACGATACAATTACATTTATATTTATTTTTTATTTTACAGGGACATTGCATATTAATAAACATTTCGGTAAATATGCCAGAGTTAGCCAAAAGGCTAATTTTTATCTGTTGTCCCTGGCTAGATTTTATCAAATACAAATGCTGTGTAGTTTGATCATGTTGGATTTTATTTTATTTCACAATTTCACCACAAGAGCGAAGAAGAACATACTGGCAGGACGATAAAACACAATGAAGCAGTTTCATTAGTCAAAATAGCTGATCAGTGGTGGTCTTGATTTTAAATCCGAAGTCCGAGAAGAGACCGAGTAAAATTGCTCTCGATTCCGAGATGAGACCGAGAACCTTCAAAAAGTAGTCCCAAGACCGGGGACCAAGACCGATTTCGAGTTCTGCAACACTTCATTGGAGCTCTTGATTTTGCACAATAACAGATGCATTGCAGGAATTTTAGTAACAACTTAAAGTGGAATAATCCTGTTTTCCTTCTCCATATTCTTTAAGGCTTGTTGTAACAAAAAAATTGGTTAACAAAATCCATTTATTCCCGTTTAAAATCAAATCAAATCCAACATGACCATATTTGTAATGATGGCTTGGCATTCTCTCTGTTTTTTAGGGTTTGTGAAGGATGTTTTTTGTTTTTTACCAGGCTCTAGTTGGCCCCTTCATTTTCTCAATACATCTTCTTCAGCATTCACCCGTTAAGTCTCTTGTTATCCCGTTTGAGCCATATCATATGTGATGAAGCACAATCCTCTCCAGATGGGCCGGCCCCTCGCCGCCGCTCTGATGAAGAAAGGTGCTAAGGTGATACGGCTGTTGATGTTTTCTGAAAGGTCAGGGGGAATTAAGGGTTGGGATTTAACCCTTCTCTTTTTTGTCTTTGCTCGCCGTGTAAAGCACACTCAGATGTTACCTCAGAGAAGAAGCAGGCTGAGGTTTAGCAGAAAATGGATTGGCCAGCTCAGTTTATAAAGGAAGAGAAAAACTTGAATTCATTGAACGTAGGTAAATTGTGAATTTTTATAATATAAAAGTATGACAGCGAGAAATAGGAGATTTGTAATAATTGTTGTCGACACCATTTGGCTGACTTATTTATTTAGCCTTTATTTAACCAGGTAAATAACCCATTGAGATCAGGATCTCTTTCACAAGGGTGACCTGGCCAAGATGGCAGCAGCACATGTCATAAAAAAAATAAAACAATTAAAATATATATATTTTTGGGATTTTGAAAATTTCAAAAAAGACGAAGTGCTTTGAGTTTTCTGTTGTATCTTTCATCAAAAGAAGTACACTGATTTACAAGAATAGACTTGGCAAATCATATTATAATTAAAGCCTGTTTCTGCCTCACCAAACGACAACTGTTTACAGATGGAAAAAAACAGCTCACTTCCTTAAAATCTCTTACAAAATCTAATCTACAAATGTTTCTAACCAATCAGTTGCAAAAGATGACCCACTTCTTTTCCTCAGAGCAGCCCCTTTATCCTGTTCATGTTTTCAGAGCAGCACTTTCACACAGCTGAAATTGCATTATCATCCGCCGCGGCCGTGAGGGTGAATAGATTTTTTTTATTTTTAAATTGCCTTGTTTGAAAAACGTCTTCCATCTCCCGTCCCCCATTATTGTACGGAAATTAGGACAGGAGAAAGAAAGAATCCAGAATCCAAAACAGATTTCAGGGTCATTATGTGTCCCTCGTTAAAGTTAGACTTCTATTCAGTCTGGGAAAGTGTGTTTGTGTGTGTGTGTGTTTGAGGATGCACTTCCCAGTGTTATGTGAGCAGCCAGCCAGTCAGTCAGTCTGATGCATTACTCCTCAACAGAGGAAATTGAGTATTATCAATGACCTATCATGTGTTTGTCTGTTATGTGTCCTGCCAGGTTCTGGAGAAATTCATGTCTCGTCTGGTCCAGAACCGGGTGATGGCACAGAGAGACCTGCGGACTCTCTGCAAATACCAGATCATCCTCGCCAGGGATCAGTTCCGCAGTAACCCACCGCAACAAATCAAGGCACTGATCTGCTCATTAATTCCCAATCGTGCAAATGTGTGATCGTTTATCATAAAACAAACATGATGTTAAACATCTTAGTGGTGCGCCTTCTTCAGATCTATAAAGCCCGGTACATATTCATTGTAAAATAAGCTAAATACATCGCGTACACTAACTAGAACCTGTATTGTTATGCCTTTTTGTATTTCAAGTATAAGCAGGGTAAAATATGTTTTTAGAACAGCATCATTCATTTATGCAAAATCTTTGTAATTCAAACTTTTTCGCCCTGGGCTCACATGCTCTCCTGCTTTCTCTCTGCACAGGGTCCGCAGCTTGAGGGCGATTTTGCCCTTTGCATCAGCCTGTACCACGGCTACGAGCTGCTGATGCAGATGGGTCTCCGATCGCTCTTCTTTTACTTCCAGGGAATCATGGACGGATCCAAAGGTCGGTCGTCTTACCTTTCGCATGCTCTCACATTATTCAGCTGCACTTTGATATCCACAAAACTAAAGCTTTGAATGAATGAGAAGCGTCCTCACAAACGCACCTTTTACTTATTACCCTTTCATTACCTCAGACTGTCCATCAGTGCTGAACTTAATCTGTGTTAAAGCATTTCATGTAAACACTTGTCATGTTTCGTTTGGTTTCAGAGAAGTCCAGGGCCAGAAATGAGCTGCAGAAGACTCCCACCTTCATGGACCTGTACCATGAGATGGAAACCATGTTTGTGAAGCCATCTGCTGGTACCTAAGCCCCCATTCACACCACATTAGTCCCATTTCTCAGCCTTTTCTTATGTAGCAGGATTATGAATTTTAAAATTGGTCTCAACATGCTACTACCTCTCTTCAAATTTGGGACTCCTGAATGCCTTATGTAATATGTTCGTCCATGCGCATTTCCAGGTCCCGATGAGCCGTTTATTTACAGTCACCCCAAGCTGGAGAAACTGGAGGGGGTGGTGTTGCAGCACTTCAAACTGTGGGCTGAGAGCTCAGCTGACAGTAATGGTGATTTACTTCTTTTAGCAACGCTCTGACTCATGCATGCAGTAGTTATTCGTAGTTAAACCTCAGATCTAACATCCTCACTACAGTAAATAGAAAACAGCTAGCAGTGTTGAAGCAGCTTAACATGCTCGCCATACCTTTAGTTTTAATTGTGTGATGTTTAAAGCTTCTTTACATGTTTTAGGTAATTCATATATTCTGAATCTGTGGCATAATTCGACAGACTGAATTCCAGAATATTTTTCTCTCCTGAGGTTATTTTTACTGTCAGCATGTTATATTTGGATCGGATTACAGAACAAAGCATTCCACTTCATGAGTCCAACAGCCTATGCTATCTGTTTGAGAACCGTAAGAAAGCGGCTGCTCGTGGTTATTTAAGGACTCCTCTGTTTTCTCCTCTTGTCTTATTCATGGCAAGGTTCAGGTCCTCAGGAAGTAAGCACGCGTGTAATGATCTTTTCATCGTTCCGTGAGAGCGTACAGGAGATCGCAGACATGTTGAACCAACATGCTCCGCTGATACGGGTCATGACCTTTATGGGCCAAGCCTCAGCGGGGAAGGGAGTCAAAGGCTTCACCCAAAAGGAGCAACTGGAGGTAAGAGACTTTATGCCTTTTGATATTTGTGTATCGGGTGCAGATTAACAGTTTTTATAGAGAAGTATATCAATATAAAAACTAATTATTTGAACAGTTTATTAAAAGCCATTAACAAGTGAAATGTTTAAAAGTATCAACAACTATATATTTAAATATAAAAAGGTTCAAGCCAAAATTCTAGGCTGCTTCAGTGAATTACAAAAAAGGATCAATATAACTTAATAAAGTCGGCCTTCAAGGTCACATATTATGCAAAATACTCTTCATATATATCTTTAGTCTGTCTACAAACCCCCCATTTATGACAAGAGTCAATCCTATCTGTCTTTATCCTGCACCACTTTTCAGAAAATGTGTGCTCAAACAGGCTGTTTGGGGATTTTCCCTTCATGACATCACAAAGGGCAGTTGCCCCTTCCCCAGGTGGGCGACACTCCCACAGCTAGGTGTTTGTTCTGCCCTCTGAGTCTGCCTTCTCACCATAAACAATAGGACATGGAGCGAGAAAGCCTGAGACACCCAAACCCTTCCAGAGAGGAGGCGTGGTCAGACACAGCTCATTTACATATTTAAAGCTACAGGCACATAAACAGCCTGTTCTGAGCAGGGCTGAACTAGAGGGGTTTATAGACATGATCAAATCCAGGATCAGAGTGGATTTAGAACAAGATACTTCACAGACATGTTTTAGGGAGCTCTGGGATTGATTTTAACTGGTTGCAAAGGAGAAAAATATGTGACCTATAAACCTAAGAAAACCCATATAGCACGGCATGTACCCACAAACAAAATTACATTTCTCTACCAAAACTCCATAGTGCACCTTTAAATGTATTTAACATTTATTACTGCTGTGAGTTCTGATTTAAATAGCAGTGTTTTTTTAAATACCTTGGCTTGTTCACCCCTAAAAAATTACTCTTCAGACACTCTGTGCATTATCTTCTGAACAACAAAATGCAGGATTTGCACCTAAATGTGAATGTGCGTTACGTCATGTTATACATCAACTACTATATATAGACCATATGATGATGATCCCATGTTACATAATGAGCATCTCCTTTAGTACATACACTCAATGACATGGATGATTGAGACAAAAGTATTTACAGTGTACACTACGTATACTGTACTGATGGGCAGACACATGAAGTTTAGCATTACATCTGATTGTGTTTTTTTAAATATGTGTTTTAACACTATTCATAGTGTTGTTTCTGCTGCGTTGAAGGTGGTGAACAGGTTTCGTACGGGAGGCTTCAACACGCTGGTGTCCACCTGCATCGGGGAGGAGGGGCTTGATATTGGAGAGGTGGATCTCATCGTTTGCTTTGATGCACAGAAGAGCCCCATCCGCATGGTGCAGCGGATGGGCCGTACTGGTCGTAAGCGAAAGGGGCGCATTGTTGTCATCTTAGCTGAGGGACGTGAGGAGAGGGTGAGTCAGCAGCACAGGCAAGACCGACTAGGACCCCCTGAATTAAAAAGAGAAGATTCCTCTTCTCAAGATCAGAGCTTATAAAACCAACACAAACGCCATCAAAAATGTTTCACCTTTGTTTATCAACAGACATACAACCAGAGCCAGAGCAGCAAGAACAGTGTGTACAAGTCCATTATTCGCAACAAAAATGGCTTCCACATGTTCCCAAACAGTCCCCGCATGCTGCCTGATGGAGTGAACCCCACCCTGCATAAGATGCATATTACCTGCGGGCAGTTTGACCATCAGGAGAGCGGCAGGCGGTCCATCGGCCGTCGAAAGTCGCGCTCTGAAGGACGGGCCTCACTCATCCACCCTCAAAACCTGAGTGAGTCATGAGGCCAGATTAGATTTTTGGTTATTCAAATATGAGATGTAGATTGAATGTTCTCCCCCTGACAGAAAGTGAACATGTGTTTCTGAGTTTGTGTGTTTTTTTGTTTTTTTTTGCGGTAGTGCGGCAGGGCAGTACAACTTCAGACGGGTTTCTCAGCAGTACTGAATATTCTCTGTGGGCGTCCACCATGAGGCTGGAAGACAATGAAGCTCATCCAACCCTGAAACCGTCGCGCTTCATATCCCTACCCAGTGATCCACTACCTCAGGTTTCTGACTTTCTTGTGTCTTTAGTTTGTGTCTCTTTTTTTTTAAGAGCACGTCTGACAAGTCCCTGAGAAAATAAGATGGTTTGAACAAAGATTCAGCTTTTGTGAGGCCAATTTGAGACTAGAACAACCATACATGTCATAAAAAGCTACATTCTGTGTTTGTTACCCCTTCATAGAGAAGTACAAAAATAGAAAATATAAATGGGGATCCGCAGGGACATGAGTTGGGAACTGGAATGTTTTACAAAAAAAACCAAGTTACATTGAAATAAATGATTCAGGTCTAGGCACTCAGGATGGTTTGACAAGTATGAAAGGCCTTTAATTCATAAGGCTAGAAACTTTTAAAATACACCAACGTGTATTGGCTTGCGCCTTATTCAGGGTATAGTGTGTCACTGCACGTTTTTGCTTTTTAGTTTTAAGATTAAGATGAACTTTTTTGTCCCAGTGGGAAATTTGTCTTGGACTTCACAGAGCTCTGATGCAGTAAACAAAATAACAAAAAAAAACATTAATTCGTGGGTAAAACATGTCAGTTAAATAATCATTAAATTCCATACAAGTGAATTACTAAAAACCATGAATATGTAATAGTTAAGAAAATTGATAAACAGTGCAGGTACAGCTACACGTCTTAACACACACCACTCACACCACCACATTTTCTTCCACGTTTAAAAAAATAAATAAAAATAAATTATTACCTTCAATGAGCACCTATGGTTTGAAGGATACCAGAAGCTCTCCTGTCGTCTCAGGGCGGCTGTGGCTCAGGTGGTAGAGTCGATCCACAGCTCCTTCAGCAACATGACCGATGTGTCCTTGGGCAAGACACTTAACCCCAAGTTGCTCCTGCTGCTTCAGCTGCGGCGTATGAATGTGTATAAATTAGATAATACTGATGGACACTTTATATAGCAGCCTCTACCATCAGTGTGTGAATGTGTAAGTGTGACCTGCGGTGTAAAAGTGCTTTGAGTAGACAGAAGACTAGAAAAGTGCTTTACAAGCTCAAGTCTGTTTATCAAGTCCAATGCGTCTCTCTATAGATGACAAAATTGTTTTGGGAGTCTTTCATGTGTATGAAATATAGGACTGTTAAGAAACGTTTTGTCCATGGACCCTCCTTTGATACGTTTCCTGTTTTCTTTACTTTCTTTACTGACACTTGTTTTTTTTCATGCAACCTCAGGAGGACATTTTCAAAAGTGGACCCCCGTCCAGAGAGCTGTCTTTGTGGGAATGGAGACACTGGCAGCACAAAGTTCTTCCCACCCACGCCGTTGACCATTCTCTCCGCTGCCGCCACTTTACTGAGGTGATGCAGCTCATCGACGGCATGAGAGAGGAAAACGAGGTGAGAACAGAGGCATGCTCAAACTGATGGTATGATAAGAACTGTTTTTGGATTGATCCAGGGAGTATCCAGAGGAGGAGGTTATTAAGCTCTTCTATTTTTGGCAAAACGGAAAATACTACTTGGGCTCTTAACTGCGTCAGAGGCTCTTTTAAATTTAAACCCGATGACGAGGGGACCACTAGTTGAAAGTATGCACCAATTAATCAGTTTTATTGTGGTAGGTCTTACAAAAGCACCTCGGGCATCTTGTGTAATTTCTTTTTTTTTTTTTTGCTTCGTTTTCAGGAAAGAAAGACAGTAGTGTGTTCATGCGATGGAAAAGCAAACTGTATAAACTCACCAGGCTGAATGGAGTCAGCTGAGATGCTCCAGAACATATGACTGTGATTTGTGTTGAGTTACAAAATGTATCAGTCTCTGCCCTGAAGGCAAGAATTCCTGGCATTATAAACAGGCCGCTCGGTGTAATTCTGTTTTTTTAGTTTATTATATCTTCTTCTCCAAAAAGGACGTCTCAGGGCTGCTTCTGATTTTGTATTCTCTCTCCTTAAATTAGACGTAACAAGAAAAAAAAAAAAAACTGGAAAAACTTTCATAGACAGGTGAGGGTCGCAGTTTGACCTTAAGCGCTGTTACCTAACAGCCGCTCGCTCCGCGGTCGTAGCAGCAGCTAGCTGACACGAATCTTCTTTGTCTTGTGTAGCTCCACGAGAACAGTTATATCAGCGAGGTCATCAGATCTACTACCGCTAATCACAACAACGCTTGTTGTCATGCTGCAGGAAACTGTGTCTCACAAAACCACACTGTACTATCGCGTTGCGGTTAAAAGAGAAACACAAGACACTTGATTGAGCCTGAGCCGCTCATTTACACTCTTAATATCCTCATCTTGAGCTTTTCCCATCACACACCTTATCACCTCCAAACATCCCTCCTAAGAATGTTTCAGCTCTCCTTGTCCCAACATCTGCTCTGTCACAAGATTGAGCCATTTGTAAGAACCCTGCGTTCATTCAAATCCATGAAATTGGGTCAGAGATTATGGTAAACTCACTATTGGCTGATCTAGCAATTTGGGTCTTATTACCTTTTGTTTTTTGTGTTTGTCCCCCCCCCCTCCCCCTCTGCATTGTGGGTCTTGACCATATTTGTACAGGGGCGAGTAAAGCCCACCTGGAAAAACAGAACTGGATTAGATGGGCGAGATGGCGGCTGATGCCTCAGTGGATGAAATCAGGTCAAATCAAACAAAAGACCATTTCATGTAATCATGTTCAAATGTTGAAAAGCAGCTTGTTAAAACATGTTTTATAGCCTCCTGGAGTAGAGATCAGCACAATGTAGAACATAATTAACACAAATCTGAGCCTGCAGTGCGATGGGGCTGCCTGTTCTACGTCTGTAGGATACTGTGTGTGTGTGTGTGTGTGTGTGTGTTATCCTCTCTGTTCAGCAAGTGAGTCGCAATGCTTTGACTTTGCCGTTTGGTGAAGGTGTGTCATAAATCATGCGACTGTTCCTGGCAGTTTTTCTTCAGGGCATACAATTTAAATCTTCGGCATACAAATCTGCGTGTGAAATGTAATTAATGAACAGAAAAGTAACACCCTGTCCTGACAGCACTTGGCGTGAGTGAGCGTCAGCCTGATCATATTGTTGGAGCATCCTTACTGCCCGCGAGCGATGCAGCGCGCGCCGTTTTTACACTCGCTTTTCTCACTCAACAGAGCTTGTTAGCTTGTTGTACAAAGTGGAGATAACGATGTTTTATTATCCACATCCTTGATTAAAATGTTGAGATCTGACTTGTGTCAACAACACTGGAGAATTTTTTTTTTCATCTTACCGAGAGAGCCGTTTATTGACGATCGTCTGAGTGTTGTGATTTGAGTTAACAGCTCCGTAATACAAAGCACTACTATTCAGTTTGTACTACTGCACTACTTCAATACAACAGCACTACATGTCGTATTGTTTGCAAGGGGAAACTGAAATTCACAGAGAAAAGAGTTCTATATTTCATATGTTTAACAGATGCAGTGTGGACAGCCAGCGTGCAATCATGCAGTACGCAACATATAACACTGTTACTATTAAGATTCATCCATTCATAATATTTCTGAAGTAAAATAAATCAATCTTCTAATAAAACTTGGATAATCATGCAGCTTGCTTGCACCCTCAATCTTCTGATTTTAAAGCCAGTCTGCGTGTGGATTGTTGATTGTTGTTATTGTTTCATTATTATATAGTAAGTATGGTATCTTATGATATTGTCTTCTACGGTATTGTGCCGTATTGTATCATATCATATAGTATGGTATTGTATCAAATAGTGAATCAAAAAAACACTTGCACATCCCTCAGTGGATGCTGGATCCAAAAAACACAAATATGTAAAGAAAAGCAAAAATAAGACCTGCACACCGAGAAGCTCCCGTTTGAAGGATTTCTTGATAAGTGACGGTTCAAGCCCACATGCTCTACCTCAGACTTCAAACTGTATCAAACGGCATCGTGTCGTATTATATTAAATCATATTGTACGGTAGTATACCGTGTTGTATCGTATCATATAGTAGAGGTGGTGGGAAAAAAATGTATACAGCATAGTATCACGATATTTAGTGTGGTGATATTATAAAGATTCATGGCTGCCAAGTATCCATATTTTTATTTTATTTAAAAAAAATATGCTTTTTACATTTTTAATTGCTGAAGGGGTTACATGATTAATTTTGAACAAGTTGCATTTTTAAGAGTGACTACATTTACATGCACACCATTTTCCTATTAAGGTCCATATTCTGGTTAAGGCAATATTCCGAAAAAGGTGTTTACATGCTCTGCAGAGTGCTGAACTACTGGAATATTCCCGTTAATCAGCTTATTCCTAATAAACCGTAGTAGTAGTAGTAGTAGTAGTAGTAGTAGTAGCGTCATGACAAGATGTCATCCAGGGGCGTCGTTTTCGCACGAACTGTATTGGCATTTCCACCAAATAGTCCAAGATGCTTGCTTTTGTGCTATACTGTGTAATATTCTTTTCACTTCTCCATCAAAGTGTGACTGGAGCACTCGTTATCATTCACCTCCTCAACCGTGGCCGACGCATTGGAATAAGGTGATTACATGACTCCTACTCAATCAGAATATTGTCATTATTCCGATTAATACAGGAATATGGTGTGCATGTAAACATAGTCAGTGACTTCAGCTGTTCAGTCGTCTGTACATGTTTTAGTTCAGTTTAGTTCCATGAGACTGAAATACCAAGACAGTCAGGACTGTGATGTGCATGCAGCCTTTCCACAGGGTTTTACTCTGATCACAGTTTTGATCCGACTGCTGACTTGACTCCCATTGGGTAGAAATAAAAAGTGAGATGAATAGACTGAGAATGTTTTCATTTGACAAAACAGTTCTTGATTTAGTGTAGTGGACATACTGTGCAGTTGAAAAAGTGAAATCGCAATATATTGTATCCCAATTCTCAGCATATCGCAAAATGTTTAGAATTGCAATAATATCGTAATCGTGGGGCCTCCGCTGAGTCTAACCTCGACCGATCACATGGCATTGTACTGAACTGTATCGTATCTTATCCTGTCGTATTAACGATTTATTACTTGATTAACGTTTGATCATAGATCTTTCAGGAATGTATCTGAAAAAGCATAAATGAAGAACAGGCGTCACACACAAACCGCTGGTGTTAAATGTCCAATCCCAGCATGATTACAGTACGAGTGTGAACACGCTCACGAGCCCTCAGTGTGATGAGTGTGTGACCACGGTGAAATGCGCAGTACTCGTGTCATCTGTCCTGTGACTGTCATCTCATCGGTCACAACACCTTCGCCTCGAGCTGCACGTCCTTTAAATCAGTTACTGTAATCAGGGTTAATGGAGAGAAAATGTTTAATCCAGATCTGCATCGGAGGGTTAGCCATAAGTAATCATCGGATCATACATGTCAAAGTCATTCTAGTGAGTGCTGCAAAAAGAGAGAGAGAGAGAGAGAGAGAGAAAAGCATCCATAAATCAAACTCTTCAAAAAAAAACATGAAACTGAAACATGTTGTCTGTGTGTGTGAGGTGGAGACGAACACATGTAAGAGTCTTGTCCTCACACACACAGACATGTTCCCATTAACACATAGGCAGCCTCTCCTTCTGCTCCTGTATACCCTGCTCTTATCCTCTCTCTCTCTTTGGGAGGAATGACGTTAGCCTCGGCTTACTTCCCTGTCCTGAATTTGCAGAGACCTTCTGACCCTGTGCTCCAGCCTTCTGACCCTGTGCTCCAGAAAAATAAGACGGGAGAGAAAATGAATGAAAATCCAAACTTTATACTTTATTTTCCTTCCTACATCTAACCCGGCCGATGTTTCTACTCCCCTTCCCCTTAATGCCCCCTTGCACTCTTTGAGCCATTAATCTCATTTGAGACAAAGCTTTTGTCTGGGGTGAGTCGAAAACCACGCTGTGTTTGTCTTTGTCCTGCCTTGTTCTCTTTATGTCGAGGAGACACAGAGCGAGTGAGCGAGCAGGCAGGCAGGCAGGCAGGCGGACGGGCAGACGGAGGCCTCCCCTCCTGTGATTATGTAACGTTTCTCTGAAGTGTTACATAAAACCAGGAAGCTGAAAATAGGTCATGCCTTCACGACCTACATGTACATCAGAATGCACTAAAGCCAGGAGAGCAGAAGATCTCAAAAACAGATGCAACAAAAATGATAAAAGAAGACAAAAGGACATTTTTTTTAAAAAGGCTGGGTGGAGATTCCAGAAAATGAAAATCCATAAATCTGATCATTAGCATGTATTAAAGATATGCTTTACTTCTTTGAGTAATGCCACTATTTCTTAAACGAAGAAAGACGCTTTAGTACATTTGTTTCAGGAAGACATCCTCATTGTAACGCACCTCTGTAACCTTTCAGAATAAGAGTTTCTGTACGCCTCATCTTTGATCTTATAAGGACATGTTCA